ATAACGTTTATGTTCGTCTCATCAATCGCTGTTATAGCTACGTGGACCTCAGTATCCAGTAATTTTTCACTCACCAATTGTTTCGTGATAGAAATCCTTGGCGTATGTTGCACAGCCGGGTGTCCGACACATTCCGTAACAGCACTTATGATATTGACACATTCTTCGCTATCCGTATCCATGTTACTCGTACATCTCTCATCAACGGTTTCGTTAGCGAACGCCAGAAGGCTAATTGCCTTATGGATGAATAATTTTTTGCCCGAACGACAAAACACGCAGAGCCAATGAGAGTTAGACTGTGAACACCCTTTACACGCTGTGGGATTTAAGCGAATACACATCTTATGGAACCACTTCTTATACTCATCATACTGCATTCCTTCCTCCGCAGTACGGCCATTCACATCTGTCAACAGAGCTGATCATCTCAAAAATCAACTGAAAATGATGACACAATAATGGATTTGGGGCAAAATTTCAAGCCTTAACTGAAATAAATCAGATCAAAATCAACTATGTTTACTTTGATGCAATAAATACACAAAAGCAAAGTCAATACACACAAATACGAAGTCACTTTAACTGAAATAATTTCATTATAAATGGAAATAGTAGTTTTGATGCGTAGTTTACGATCAGAACAGGAAATTTAACTGAACAAGGAAAAATACCACAGTTCTTTTTACATAGCGCGCTCCTAATGAGGTTAGCATCAGTGTCAGTGACTTACAGAACCATTTATTTTGCGGATTCATTTACAGCCACAAGCTCACTCAGGTATCAAAACACCAGAGTTCTGAGAAGAAGAAACTACCTGTAGACATTGCTACGGCATGTGAATCTGCGGATCCAGTCCCGGATTCACATATCAATGTAATACAAACCATAGGGGAGCCAAGTCTGAGCAATGTAGAGGAAGTGATCAAGAGACAAAATAAGGTAAATGAGCGGCTCACAGTCACACCCAGGAAAAGAAAAGTAAGAAAACAGAACACAAGCTCTGTGGTTGACGCTGAATTGAAATCGAACTTCAAGGAAGAGGTGGTTTCAGGAACTAAAATTCCACAGCATGTCAAGATAGACTTCTTCGAGAGGTCAGCCATTTTTCATAAGTAAAGAGAATCTTCCGATAAGGAACCAAAGGTTAGATTTGTGCACGACCTCAGTCGTATTATTTCCTTAATAAGCAAGCTACCCCCAAAGACAGTTTCAGGAGTTAACATCTGTAAGCTTTATAGGATAGGACAAAAGATGGATTCTGAAATTCCTGAGAAAGGCCACCTCTTGAAGGTCACATTTGCCGCGGTTGAAGAAAGGAACCTGATTCTAGGTAAATCACGTAAACTGACTAGATCCGGTATATACGTCTGTGAGGATCTCAGCCTAGCTGATCGTATTAAGAGACGGGCTGCAGAAGTGGAGATAAACGAGCGCCACCGAAAAGGTGAACGAAACCTCGCACTTAAGGGCTCTCAAATTGTAAGTGTTCGGAGCCAGACGATGCTCAAACCACTCTGGGTAGTAAGGGAAAGTTCTCCACAGACTTAAGGGTATGCTACACAACTTCCCGCAGCCTACTAAGTAAAATAGTGGAGCTCAAGTCGACGGTGAATAAAGAAAAACCGGATGTTACTGTTGTCTCAGAAACTTGGTTAACGTCTGAAGTATTATATAATGAAATTCATTTGACTGGTTTTTATACATTAGGGCTGATAGATTAAACCGTAGGGGAGGCGAGATTAGCCTGTAAACGAAAAGTACCTTAACCATGCAACCAGTTGAGACAGTGGCACATAATAATAATAATATATTTCTGCATGTGCAGGTACACACCGTTTTTACAGACATGATCTATAAATTACAACATTTGTTGGTTCGCAAAATGCTTCCCAACTTATTAAGTTTATAGTTGTTATAAAGTGAAATCGTAGAGCGCTTGCTGTAAACTATGACCTTGAGAGGACTCGTACGTCAAGTTTGCTCCAAACATCAGAAGTTTCATAGCTTTGCTCTCGGAGCAAGATTCTGAAGGAGAAAAAAAAGAGAAACAGAGGAGCAGCAAGGCACTTGGATATGAACGCCAAAGGTTGCTTTACATTGTGTAGTAGAACATGTTGCAGGGAAATGTGAATTGGTGTGATGCAAGCTGAAATGTAGACGGAAAGATATTGAATTAGTTGTAGTATATCGCAGTTCAGAATGTGTAGTAGATGATTTCCTCCCAAGTAAAATTAAGTCCTAGTGTAACAAGGGTAAAAGCCTTGTAGTTAGCAACTTTAATGCACCGTCTGTAAACTGGGTTAACTTAAAAGTAGGGTCATCGATAACGTCATTCAATCGCAAACTGTTAGAAACTTCGATTGGATTAGCATTATTCCAACACATTAGAGATCCCACAAGATATGACTTAAGAAACTCTTCCTCTCTTTTAGGTTTAGTCTTCACACACGGTGATGACGCTGATCAAATGATTTTCCTCCCACCACTAGGGAGAAGTGTCCATGCAGTCATATTATTCAAATTCATGGCTGGGATTGTCTGTCAAACAGTTGCGTCGGCCCGTTCCAACATATGGAAGGCAGATATGGAGGCAGTCAGACTGAGAAATTTAATCAAGGGCATCAGAACAAGAGGCATGGACTAATTTCAGGCAGTTATACAATCGGGTAACTCAACCATACATACCCTGGACAGTCCCAAAGAAGATGAAGCACCGCCATCCCTTAATACATCGGGATATTCGACGTTTACTAAGACAAAAGAAGAAATGTTGGAATGTTGATATCTGCCTTGACACAGCAGATACGATGAAACGTTACAGATTGGTAAGAAACAGGTGTATAACTAAAATTCGGGACGCTCAAAGAAAATATGAAATGCAGTTGGCACAATCTGCACTCAAGCAGCCCAAGAGAATATTATCGTACATAAACTACAGAACAAAGATGTATTATTGGATTCCTAACATAATTAAAGAAGGGAGTGAATCTGAAATGATGGGGGACGATCGGGAAAAAGCAGAGTCTATGGTTGACCATTAGGGGCAGTTTTCACTCAGCAACCTCCTCTAGACAAAGAGCCAGACCAAAATACGGAGTCAACAAACCAACTGCTCACCATGGACTTCTATTAAGACGATGTACTTAAGGCTCTTAGCACCACAGACATATGAAAAGTCAAAAGGACCAGATGAACTACACCCCAAAATCTTGAGACAGATTGCACAATATATCGCGGCCCCACTGATTGTGATATTCGATATGTCACTTGACCAAGGTGTGTTACCTATGGACTGGAAGGACGCAATCGCCACTTCCATACATAAAACAGGACCAAGACGACTTCTGTCAAACTACAAACCTTTAAGCCTCACCAATGTTGTCGTTAAGATATTGGAACAAATAATCAAACGGACCATAATGACATTTATAGAAACCAATAACTTGTTAAACAGCAAACAACATGGTTTTAGAAAGGGTTTATCTTGTACAACGAAGCTTCTTATAGCAAGGGGATTTCGGACAAAGGCGCTGGACAATGGAAACTCAGTCAATGTTGTCTACATAAACTTCAATAAGGCTTTTGACAGGGTGCCTACTAATAAACTGCTATTGAAGTTAGATAATCTTCGCATTGCCGGGCCTTTTTTAAAATGGCTTAAGGATTTCCTAGTAGGTCGTAGACAGAAGGTAAGAGTAAATCTGAAGTGTCCCACCTAAAGACCAATACTTGGTGGAGTACCTCAAGGTTCTGCACTAGGTCTTTTACTTTTTATTCAGTATGTAAATGATCTCCCAAGTACAGTACAATCGCCAATGTTATTATACGCCAACGATTTGAAAATCTAGCTAGAAATAACGGGAGATACGTGCACACTTCAGGTAGACTTAAATATGGTGATTAACTGATCTAAACAGTGGCTGATGCCTATCAACGCGGAAAAATGTGTCTACAAAACCTTTGGTGATGCAAAGTTTAACAGATAAAACATAGGGGAAGTGCCTGTACACGTGGTCTGGTCTCACAAGGATCTTGTGTGTCAGTGAGTTATGACCATAAGATCACGGCCCATTGCCAGGAAGTCGCAGCTCAAGGGTTTGGGACTCTATTGACTTTAAGGCGGACATTCACCAAGATAAATACTACCATGTTCACTACAGTATACACAATCTTAGTAAGAACTAAGCTTGAGAACTGCGTTCAGGATCCAAGCCCCTGCTTAAAAGATGAATAGGGTATCTTAGAAGAGGTAAAGAGGGCAGCTACCCGTGCAATTCGAGGACTCTGGGGTTTGCCATACAAAGAGCGGCTTGAAATGCAGGAACTCTTTGCTCTGTCCTATCGCAGACTAAGGGGAGATCTAATTTCGATGTACAGAATACTGAGAAATGATTTTAGACCCAATATATTCCCTCTTTTTCTTCCCACTAGATCGGGATATCTCAGAGGACATGGCAGGCGAGTAGAAAAGCCAAGAACGAACAAATTACCCGTGGCATACAGGTTTTCACACCGAGCCATAATTACTTGGAACCTTATGAAGAGCGCCTCTAATCACTTAACCTTTACCCATTACAGTATAGGAGTCTTAGAGGAAACCTTCTGTTGGCTTACAGTATCCTTAGCACTTCTGAACATCCCCTTAAACACCTACTTAAGCGTAGTCCCAATACTAACCTAAGGGGTAACACCCAGAAATTGGAGATACAGCTTAGCAGAACGGACTGTAGACACAACTTCTACTCCTTAAGAGTTGTAAAATGCTGTGATGATGTCACAGGTATTCAGTGTTTGACAACGCTTCTACCAGTAACACCTAATATATTTCGTTCCCACCCAGAGAAATCAAAAGACAGAGTCGAGGAGATCGGAAGAGTATATTTGGCGATGACCAATATATCGGAATTCTCTGATCTAATCTGGCTAGCGATTGCGGTTGATGTTGAGCACGGCCTTACCACACGTGATCTGGTGCGGATGCATGACCGAACGCCTTCAGTTAAGTGAGTCCACTAAAACATATGGTCAGCATCCAATGTCGAAAACTTAGAGCTATTTATTTTGGCGAGTAGAAAAGCCAAGAACGAACAAAATACCCCTGGCATACAGGTTTTCACACCGAGTCATCAATACTTGGAACCTGCTGCCTGAAGCAGTGGTATCCGCACCTTCAATTGACTCTTTCAAGAGAAGACTGGACACTCACAGAAGCATACTAGAAAAGGAATAACATAGGCCGTAGGCCTTCTGTCCTTACTACACAAATCTGAATCTGATTTATTTACCGCTATAGCTGGAATTCCCTGCCGACTGAAGTAGTCCAAGCGACTTCCCAGGAGTCCTTTAAGAGCAAACTTTACCTATTCTTAAGGACTCAGGATAACATCTTATTATGAGTTACCGATTTCTTTTTTTTCTAATCTATTATAGTTTATATACCTAGGTTCCTGCCTGGAGGTATTGGTGATCCCCTGCTACCAGATACGGAAGCCTGTTAAGCGAAAGCTTCTATTCCGTCCACAACCATTTGAACCATTTGAACCGTTTGAAGCGCAAGCGTTTAATGGGTACGTTGCATATGAAGTAAATACGTTTCTTATATGTGTTTGTAGATCATATTCTTAGTATCCAATAAGCAGCTTTTTAATTGAAGCCTAATGTCTAAAATAGTAAATTTGGTGCTTGATATTTAAGAGTTCATAAATCTAGTCCCAGCTTTGTAGTGGTCGAAGCAAACAAAAATTTGAATTTAAATGTTTTATTGTTGCCATTTATTTTATTTTATCCACAATAATAAATTGCCTCGAACTTCGATATTTCTTAACATATATAATCGCTGATTGTGAGGAACTATGTCGAAAGCTTTGCTGAAGTCAATGTAGGCTACGTCTTCAAGTAACATTTGGTCTTTATGAGCGCACCAACTTTCACGAGCCAATAATAAGTTAGTGAGACAGAAATAACCGTGCTACTTCTCAGAAAAAATCCGGTCTTAACCGAGATACGTAAACAGCTTCCGAATAATCTTTTCTGAAATTTTAACAATCACACTGGCTAGGCTAACGGGTCGATAGTCCTCACATTTATGTTTCGTATCTGTTTTGAAGACAGGAGTTCTTATGGCGTTCTTACAGTCTTTTGGTGATCGACCTTGGGTTATGGATAGATTGAAACATATACTTAGGGGATTCACAACGAAGTTAGCTTGCTCCTTTAGTGATCTAGGATGCATTTCACCGGGTCCCATGGATTTGCCTGTATCAAGCTTATTTAGCAGACCAAAGATATCGAGTTCTTTAGTAGTCACATTGTCCAGTGTGTGTGTGGGGTTTGTATGAACTGTCAGAAAGGGTGTCTCCGCGGTATATACGTTGCTAAAATAGTGTGATAATGCTCGAGTCTTACTATAATCGTCCACTAATGATGAATTATTACTGTTTCCCCGTAGTGCTGGAGTATTTCCTCATCTTTTAATCCTTTGGTTTATGTACGAGTACAAGCGTTTTGGGAATTCTATGGATTCTTTAACAATTTTTTCTTCTGACAACCTTCTAGACTCACAGAGGGTCGAAGCACAAATATTTATAGCTTCTCGATATTAAGATTTTGTTTCATCAGTACCCAGTAACCTAAATGTCCCCCATATTCTTCTCGTATGGGGAAGGGTGCGAACCTCCATGCTGAAGAGTTACTCGGACCCCTTGGTGTAGTCCATGGGATATGTAGGGCAGTAACTTTTCCGTACGTTTTGAAACCAAGTCAATAAACCTTTATTTCATCTGAGTATATTTTTCACCAAATAGTTCAACTGAATTACTACCGAGAAACTCAGAACACCGTGTTACAACTTACTAAGTGATGAATATAGCCAAAGACAAGACATGAGTCGTATACAGACTTACTGATTTTCCAATTGCGGTTTGTGCGATAATTGTTATCTGTGGCTAAAGATATCAGGCGATATGGATTAAGTTGGACCGTAACAAAGCGACCATTTCATCCTGTCTTCTAGAGTTAAACACCGGTAGCATACCAGTATTTTCATTTCTCAACCTCTTTCGTTTCTTTGGAACTACATATTTTTTCGTGTCAAATAATATTACTACTTCCACTCATTTTTTTTCATCCTGTTAGTTTCCGTTTTTTCTGATATAAATTGCAGCATTTTGGGTCAACATGTTTGTGTTAGGTTTCGGGTTTTGTGGAATAAACATTGGTTAGCAATTTGCACTCGAGTTGTTAAAAAAGTATCTCTAAATTAGGAATGACAAATTCTGAATTTGAACATTATCCTACTTGTTAAGGTACGAAATAGTCAGCGTAGTTGATTGTCTACAAATTCCTTTTAAGACTCGCATTTCAATTACTTTACTACATCCTCACTGTGCTGTTCACATATTGTATTCCTTTGCCAATGTTTCAACTGAAAAATTATGCGATTTAGTTATAATAAAATTGTCGGACAGTTATCCTACAGATATTTTATGAGTGACTAGCAGATAGATCTTACTTATTGGTTGATTTAAGTTACTGTGAAGAAGTGGCCTTCGTTTAGTCACGAAACGTCAGAAATTTAAATTCACACTCACTAGGTATCACAAATATGTCATTATCTCCAAGGAAGGGCGAGAGGTTGGCCGTATTATTTTTGCACACAAAGTTAAGGACTGAATTAGTGGATCGTCAACGCCTCAGGGGTACACAGGTTCTTGATTTGATCTCTTGTTGATCCAGTTCTTTTGACTGTATAGATTTATTTAATGCTCGACTTCTTTGGAGTTAGTTAAGTGTTCTTGTATTGAGCTAGTGATAGCTTTTCATTACCCTTCTAAGAGTCATACCGTGCAATGTTCTGAGACGCGTTTGGAAAGTTTTTGAGTTGTGCATACATTGTAACCTGCCCCAGCGACAGTCCAAAAGAAACCTCTCTTTAGGCATGCCAAACTTAAAGGATATACGGCTGCTGAGATCTTGAATAAACAGATCTCAAAATCCTTGAAGAAAACCTAGGCTAAGCTTTGTAATATGATTATGTTATTATGGACTAACAGATTTTCGTTCGGAAATTCCTGCCAATAGTTTATAACCATAATGTTGTAGCCTCCTTTACGGAATAATAATTTAATCCTTGTTACAGTTATTAAGCCATCACTTAATTTTGCCGTACGTTTATATCTAGACTAACACAATATATAAGTCATCGATAAATATAGTCGTGGGTTTTATTCAGAATTTCAAAGAATCATAGAATATTTTCGTTTAAAAATGTATATTGACTTGAACAGCTAACTAAGCCAACCATTCTAGATGGTTCATAAAACGTCGTTACTATTAACTTTTATGACGGTCGTTCACTGTTACAGTAAGACGTAAATCTTGGGCAAATGGTTGCAGTGCATCCGTAAGAAGACTATTGGTGTGGTGTGTTATTGGGTCTCGACCGGTAGTCACATGCTGTCAAAAGTGATTCTAAAAGCAAATCGTTCTTTTCTCTCATTGGATCTCAAATTTTTGATCGCATAATATTTCAGATTTTTGTAGCCATTGAAATTTAATATTTTAATAATACCTATTTTTTGCATAGTTTAATGTCGGGTCAGATGTCGAAATCATGCACAATCATGCAGGTAATTTTTTTCTTCACAGCGTTTTCCTATAAAGGTAGTATGGTTCTTTGTGATAATTTTTAGTTTTTGCGTGCTTTAACGATTAATGGATTCTGGACATTAAAATATGAAGTTATCAGATAAGAATTAGCCAATTAGCGTGCACCAACGCAATCGTGCATGCTTTAATCCAATCTATGTCCCGCTAACAGTTAACAATGCAAATTAGAAGGATTGTTTGCTACGGATTATTGTAATAGTCGATTGACCGTATTGCATTGATCATCCACCATTTTGTATTTATGTTATAATGAAAATAATCTTTAGTTATCCTCGGTTTTGTCCCCAAATGCCGTGGTACGGCCGAGAGTGGGGAGGGTCAGCTCTCTCTCTCGAAATGCTCTCACATGACCACGCGTATACAGCAACTGCCAGGGAAGTCCTAGTCATTTCCATCTCGCGGCGGAAGTGTTGTATACTAAATTAAGAGGACAAAAAGCGAATATCTGGGTTGATGGACACGGAGTTCACCTAGGGGAGTTGGGAAACCTTGACTCCAAACCAATTGTCCACATGGACTCCAGGATCCTAAAGAAACATATGTAGTACGAACCAATCGTTGGTCACCGGCTACCATGGGACTACATCTCACGATGTTGCTCTGCTGCCTTGTGGATCAGACCTATGGGTCAACGGCTCCTGGTGTGACCCCCTAAGGAAACTACTTACTTTGGTTTGGGCACCCGGGCAGTATCATAGCACACACCCAAATCAAGTGACTTGTGTGGCGCATATGTATTCGGTGCCCCTTTCTACCAATATTTATGTGTTTAAATAAATAAAATAAATAAACTAAATTGCAAGCCATAACTATTATGAGGAAGTTAACAACTCTGCCAACCTGCTTTGGTATGTAGGAGACAGCTGAAACCTGTACCTCAGTGGTTATAGTTTGAGAACCTAAATCAGTGAAAAACTATTCTTAACAGTACTAGCGTGATAAATCCCACCATTAATTTAAGCTTGAGTTGTTTAAAATTTTTTATCTTAGATATCAATGCCACGGTTGGACTTAATAGTTTTAAATAAATTGAACACTGGGTAGAAAGTTAATAATAAATATATTTTTGTGATATTCCAATGAAAAAGTGATCCAAGTTCAGTCACGACAAGTCGAAAATACAATTTTATGCTCATTGAGATATCACGATACCTAAAAGGTTAGCATGGACCCTGTGCAATGATCTATAATTGTGTTTTCATAACTTGTTGCTAATTGTTGGGAGTTAGAACTTTTCACTTAGTCCAGTTAATTGGATGTTACTATGTAGCATATAGTGTACTAGTATACTGATACTTATGAAGTCAACCAATTAAAGTCCTCTCAATCATAATCATTTTATGCGGACATGAAGTTGCTTCAATCTATCACTTTCATGACATGTTCTACGAATGTCTTCCCATTGAATTCCACGTCGTGCATTATTTGCCGACCCTGGGACTGGTTGGAAAAAGCAAAGAGGTGGTTAGTGTATGACATGGTGTCGTGGTATGAAAAAAAGCTGTACATGACTGGCTCCTGTCGGTCCTTCACAACTTTTTTGCTGGGGTCCTAGAGAAGGTGCAACGTTATAGATGTGCGACGTTATCAAATATAGCTCATAATGGAAGCCAGTGGTGATCCTGCTGTTACTTTACTTTCTTCATAAAAGATGGACTTAACTTCTTTAACTGGAAGAATTCTTTCTGGTTGTACCTGTGCTAACTGAACCGCCCCTCCAATTATTATTATTTCACTATCATACACTAATTTCTGTACGTTACTGTTCCCTTCTTATACGCGCCTTACATTCTTTATCTCTTCACACTCTCATTGTTATTGTGTGGCGCATATGTATCTGGTGCCCATTTGTACTAACATTTGTGTTCAAATAATGATAATTCATGACATGTTCAGGATGCATCTGATAAAATCTCTTTAAAGTGTTTCTACTCTTTCACTGAATGTTTTTGTGCCAATGATATATCATTTTATTGTAATTAATACAAAACTTCTAAGTTTACTTCTTGTGCTTAACGTAGGATCCCGTCTCAAACCCAAATATTGAAGAGGCCATTTATGATAGTGACAAAAATTCTCATGGAAGATGTACTTCATCATTATATGAAGATGATGTAAAAGTTATGGAAGTGAAGGAAAAAAACCTGGGTAAGTAAAATACTCCGAATCTAATTCGTTTGATTGTGGTTAAGTTAAGAGTTTCACTTTATCAACAAATGCTTATTGGTTAATCCATTTTTTTAAGCTTCCGAAGTAACAAAGTCAGTTTTTATTTCTTAATTGGAAATAAAAATCGATCGTTTATGCTATAGCAAATGTGTATCATTTGTATTTACGAAACCTACTAACTGCTCTCAATCAGAAACTACTATTTATCACCGCAAACCTAAAATGATCAAAATTCAAATATGGAAATGCCATTTTGATGTGCAATATCTAATGATTAGCTAGAATGTATATTTTATGTTTGTTCCAACGGTTAATATTGTTTGAAAGCTGAGATTAGTCTGAAGTTACCGGCATACCATTATATTTGAACATAACTAGCACTGTATTCAAAAGTTTATCTCGCTATAGTGTCGCAAACAGTCTTATATCTTGTGTAGTTCTGATTTTTCAAGCATTCTAAATGTTTAATTATAACTGACGATATTCACTTAGGATGTAAACAAAAGATAATCGGATCGTAATGAGCTTTGGTATTGGACTTTAGTATTAGCGAAGAAAAACAATGGAGAGTTAGAAAGTCGAAGTGTTCAAATAATTTATCTAGTGAAACAGAAGTAAAGAATATTAAGCAAAGACCATCTAGTAACAAAGTATAGTGATTGCAACAAGGTTAAAATAGGTAGTCAACAGTTTTGAAGACAAAAACTAAGTTCAGCTTCATGAATCTAGAAATTTGAAAATATGGGATGGAAATGGTTTTAATTTAGCATCCTAACCTTCACATTCAACTAACTATGCATATTAATTATGTTGACTGGAGTTATTTCATAAAATAACAAACATATAAGTTAAATTTTACTGTTAGGAATAACATGCCTATTATGGAAATTTAAAATCGTAGATTTGTTAGTAAGTAGTTTATTGCTAGTTTGCACGACAAATGAGATAGTTAGTCATTTTCACTAAAGTATTTCCCTCTAGTGTAGTCTCAAAACGTCATTTAGCTGACTTAGTTTTATCTCCATTGGATAAGTTGTGGTTTTATCGTCAAATGTATTCAATAATGTTTTTGTTTATCTCCTATATTTAATATATAAGCCTCATCATATCAAGATTCTGAGTACACGCGATCTTCTGATGGTTCACAATATTCAGTTGGACGTAGTAAGGATAGTCCTATGGAAGTAAGTTTCTTTTCGTTCTCTTAATTACTAGAAACTTTATGTTGTCCCACTATAGTACTGTTTCATATTAATAATACATACTTAGCGTTATATTCGTTAGTTTGTTGAGATTTAAACTGTCTGTGTTAATAGCTGTACCTCAATTGCTTAGAAGCATGTCGTTGATTTGTATTTTAACTATAGCACTGTTTATTTACATTGAGGTTTCTCCCCAATTATCATTTCATACGATTATTCTGGGATATTGCACTTTACTAGTGAGGTGTCACAGTAGTAAACCGAACATGATCAGTTCCATTTCAGATGAATATAACACGATTTATATAAATACAGGTTTGATCTATAACTAGTTTCCCCAACTCCATTCAACTAAAATATCTGAAAGGAGAGGATAAAGATATTATCCCTTTTATATAATTTATTCTATGGAATACATTAATTTGTTTCGGCGATCTTTTAATTGAATATTTTGCTCAGTCATCCAATTCACTTGTTGATCATATTTAGTTCTTTGATATAATTATTAGGCTTGACCACCACCGACCGTTGTTGCTACCTCGACGTGGTGGTCGGGCTTGTCTATCGTGATGAAGCAACCGAGCTATACTGGCTGGAACAACTGTTCCTCAAGGTCCTACCATGTCAGACAGGTCGATTGAAGAGCGGTAAGACTAAAAGCAACAAACCCAAGGTTCGAAGGCGAAGTCGTACTGCTGACTGTACAGAGGTGTGACTGCAGTAAGGTGTTTCCTTCAGACAACCAGCATGACAGCGATGCTGCCTTCCCACAAGGAGGGTGGGGTTAGAAAAGGTCGACCCTAAAAATGCACACCTCGCCTTATCCCACGGATATCCGTCTCCGGCGGTAAGGTCCCAAAAAGTACGGAGCTAACACAAAAATTACCCATAAAAAGGTCGTATGTGACCAACCTCAAGCAGTTGTCCCTTGGGCACTGCGGTCACACTCTCAGGTCACTGAGACCACCTCTAATCCAATTTCGTTTTCAGGTACCTCCAGAAGAACCCTTCCACGGTGTGGGCAACCGGGAAGTGATAACCGCTCTCATACCTCTAACAACACTCAAGACCACTGTATTCCTAATCAACCTCCGTCTTCACTTCCTATTACTCCTCCTACATCGACTTTCACCTCTAAACTTCCTTTTTCGGCTTCCTCCTCAAATGTCACCATAGCCAACGATTCTAGTGCTCAAAACACTATCCCAGGTCTACTGAAACCTCGCTCCAAACTACACATTGGAGCCTTCAACGTACGCACCCTATGTCAAATCAGTCAACAGGCTTCCTTGGCTAGAACCCTAGAATCTCGTACCATTGATGTATGCTGTGTCTCTGAAACACGCATACAGGATCCCAGTGTGGTCATTCACTTGACCTCACCTCGGCAAAACGGAGAGCCAACGAGATACACTCTCCGTGTATATGGTGACGCGATGGCCAGCTCTCGTGGACTGGCAGGAGTAGGGATAGCACTAAGCATGAGGGCGGGACAAGCACTGTTAGAGTGGATCCCCGTTAACAGTCTCCTATGTGCTGTTCGGCTAAACGGCTCCGTAAGAACTCGGAAGGATAGGGACACTCGTCGTTGCCTTTTTGCCGTTTCTGCCTACGCTCCCACCGACTGCAGCTCAGATGAAGTGAAAGATGAATTTTACAGAAAGCTATCTGAACTTCTTCAGAAAGTTAAACGTTCAGACATAGTACTCGTAGCAGGTGACTTTAATGCCCAGATAGGTAGCTTAAACCAAACAGAAAGGCATTTAGGTGGGTATTTTAGTATTCCGGCACAACGAACAGATAATGGCGATCGTCTGCTGCAATTGTGCTCAGACAATCATTTATTTTTAGCAAACACAAATTTTAAGCATAAGGAGAGACATCGTCTAACATGGAGACTGCCTGCACCAAACCATCGATGGACTCAAATAGACCATATTGCCATCAGTCATTGTTGGAGAGGGTCGGTAGAAGATTGTCGCTCATTCTGGAGTACCTGCTTGGACTCCGACCACGCCCTAATACGGGCACGCATCTGCTTGCGCCTCACTGGACGCAAAAAGGCCACAGTAAAAGGACCCATTAGAATTGAATTGAGTAGCGAGAAAACCAAAAGTAGGTTCCAAGAACAACTGAGGTCACGGTTAGGCAGTTCTGAAAACGAGAATGACCCAGTTGTTGCTTGGAAAGCTATACAAACAGCTGTGGAAACAGCAGTGACATCTATCAGTGATTTAAACCACAGGGTTACAAAGAACCAATGGATTTCCTCTAGGTCTATTGCACTGATGAATTTTCGTAAACTCATCCCACCAGGCTCTGAACACGATGAAGAGCGACAACAAATCAAATCTAGGTTAAGTAAAAGTCTAAGGAACGACCGTGAGCAGTGGTGGGCAACGAAAGCAAAGAGATGGAAAAGGCGGCGGCTATAGGGAACACAAGACAGCTCTACAGACTAATAAAAGAAACTGGAATTAATAAATCAAGTGTAATTCAGACTATTTCGGAAAAAGACGACACTCTCATCTGCTCTCAGTCCAGACGTTTAGAACGATGGGCGGAACATTTCAGAGAACAGTTCAGCTGGCCTTCAGCTACTCTACAACTACCCTCCATTCCCAGACAGTGTGAAGGGAACATTGAAGTAGGTCCCCCAACTCTTGCTGAAGTTGAGAAGGCTATAGTTAATCTGAAACGAGAAAGGGCAGCTGGTCCAGATGGATTGGCTCCAGAGGTCTTTAAGGATGGTGGTCCAATTTTAGCGATTAGGTTGACTAATATTTTAGCTAAGATCTGGGAGTTAGACGTTATCCCATCTGACTGGTCACAATCACTTATCGTCCCAATATATAAGAAAGGGTCAAAATCATCCTGTGACAACCATAGAGGCATTAGTCTAATTAATATAGTATCTAAAATACTAGCCTCGATAATTATCGGACGCCTAACTAAGACTCGTGAACTGCAAACACGAGAGAATCAAGCTGGCTTCAGACCTGGTCGTGGCTGCATCGACTACATATCCACCATTCGTCAGGTTCTAGAACACAGGCATACTTATCGGCGTCCGACAATGATGGTCTTTCTCGACTTAAAAGCAGCATTTGACTCTGTAGACCGCGAGATTCTGTGGCAGTGTCTGTCATTGAAAAATGTACCTCAGAAGTACATAAACCTTGTAAAGGCTCTTTACTCGAACGCTACCAGTCGGGTCAGAGCTTATGGCGAACTGTCATCTACTTTTGCAACCTCAAGTGGTGTCCGTCAAGGCTGTCCACTTTCTCCATTTTTGTTTAACTTCATCATAGGCTTATTGATGGAAATAACATTCTTGTCTACTGAATTCTCGGGTATCGATCTCCTTCCAGGAGGTCCACTTATCGACTTAGAATACGCGGATGACATAGTCCTGTTTGGTGAAGACGCTGATAGAATGCAGAGTCTTTTAGTAGCACTGAGCAACAATGCCAGAATGCTTGGAATGCTCTTCTCTCCCTCTAAATGCAAGTTGTTGCTTCGGGACTGGTCTGCGTCAACACCTGAACTAAGGATAGGGAGTGAATTAGTCGAACGCGTTGACAACTTCGCTTATCTTGGAAGTCTGAACAGCCCTAATGGGTTGGTGTCTGACGAAGTCTCAGCACGGATTCGAAAAGCTCGTTTGGCTTTTGCCAACTTACGTCACCTTCGGAGAAGGCGAGATATCCGTCTATCAATCAAAGGACGAGTATACTGCGCGGCAGTCCATTCTGTTTTAATTTACGGCAGCGAAACATGGCCATTAAGAGTAGAAGACACTCGTAAGCTATTAGTATTTGACCACAGATGCCTCAGAAATATTGCTGGCGTCTGCTGGGATCACCGGGTAAGTAATAGTGAAGTTAGACGCAAGGTATTAGGTAATGATGGTAAATCAGTTGATGAGGTTGTGAATCTTCATCGACTGAGATGGTTGAGCCACGTGTTACGTATGCCTGAACACCGATTACCACGACGTGCAATGCTAACCGGCGTTCGGGATGGTTGGAAGAAAGTTAGGGGTGGCCAAACCAAAACGTGGCATCAGTGCTTGAAGTCACTAACTTCTGGTCTGAGCCATGTTGGGAGATGCAGACTACTTGGTTGGGGTCCGCGTGACTGTCGTAACCAATGGTTGGAGACTCTTGGTGACATGGCTCAGAATGGATCACAATGGCGTTGGTGTATACACTCTCTGTCTTCCCTTAAACTAAGAGATTGAAATTGCTTCATATCTTTCTTTCTACGAACTAATTCTTTCTTCCTGTACTATATCCTTATTGCAATCTTTCTTTTATATATTACCACCTCTGAATTAACTACTTTTATGAATCCGGTGTCCATCTTGTTGTGTTAATGAGGTATGGCCACTTGGACCGATGCATAAATGTGCCTGGTCCTACGTTGTAGCTGACTGACTGACTGGCCACTTTAACTAAAATGTTTCTTTGTTGAAATTTCAATATATCAATAAGTTCCGTTAAGAAGTGATACAGTGAAAAATAACCAATAATTTCAGTTTACAGAGCGAATTCGTTTTTCTGGCTGCACCGAAGTGTGATGGCATTTTGTACGACACTGTCTTTCTATTACGAAAAGGAGGTAGTGCCTAAACGGGTCGATATTGCTATTGTAAGGGTCTCCAATGTTCTGACAAGCTCTAGGGAAATAAGTATTTTAAAAATACTACACATGATGAGTTTAAGCAGGTATTGCTTAGGATCAAGTACTTCAGTGGCAGTAGAAAACAAAGGTTTTGTCACTAAGGAGTATAGATCACGCTTTTTTCAGTAAACCTCAATTTACAGGTTAACCCAGTCTACTGAACATGTTACCCTTATCTCGTTTTACACGTTAATCCTACTGCAGATGGTATTGAATATTAACTTTGGATGTTATGACATATCTCGAATAAAACGTGACCTGATTAAGCCAGTCAGCAATGAATTTTATTTGTCACAGTCACAAATAATCATTGTAGTACTCGTACAGCAGTTGACCTCTTAGAGGATTAGGTCGGTTTTACTTAGTCACCAAGTTGAATTAACTTAGTCGAAAACTTGTATTTTTGAACATCTTGTTATTTCACAGTTGTACAAATTCCTATTTTCTTTGAAAATATTTTATTCAATTTTAGACAATTTATTTGCTTATTTCATGCATATACGTGTATGCAGATATATATTTTGTGATATAAGAAGATTAAGAGAGACTTAATGAAATATTGAATACTGAGAATTTAGTATTGTACTAAACATATAATATAGAATAAAGTCATTACTATTATTGTTTGATTAATTAGATGATGTTTTTCCATTAGTACTGTCCGAATTTTACGGGTTCAGTCCACAATGTGGTCATTAAATGAAGCATCTCAACTTTAGATGATGTCGAGTGATTCAAGAGAAATGCTGAATGTAATTCCTGTTGTAGTTGTCGCTTATCAAAAAGATATAAATATATTATGTATTGTCGTTTGTTTACTTAGTTTTTTTCCCTCAGTTTTATGTTTCGTTACAATATTTTATAACATCAAGCAATACATTTGTATAGATATTTTTCGGCCACCAGGGTAGATTTTTGTACTGTTGGAATTTAAGGAAAGTTCAATCCTGACTTTCAAAGTGATTACCAGATTTTGGATTGCCTATTACTAAGAATTGTGTTATGTGGTATTAAGTAAATTAGATTTTCAGTAGTTTGACAATATCTCGGATCATAATAAATGAACCTATTATATATATATCCCTAAAGTATTGTAAACCTGTTTATATCCAGTAAAACATTTCATCATTAATGTATTCTGTTTATACTTTCCAGGTTTTTTGATTGTATCTACTGTTAATTTACGAATAACCTTAATTGTGTATCACCAACAAAATAGTTATAGTTTGAATAAAAGCGACTTTAAAGGATCATTATTATTTGATCAGGAAAATGTTGTACACTTATTCATTAGATAGATATACGAAACATTAATTTTTTTCCTTTATTTTTTTTTCCAAGAACAAACAATTCAACTGTATTGCTTATTCTCCTATTTCAAAGATATATGTACAAAGTCTAACTGTAACTATAACAAAACTAGTCTTTAATGAAACAAATAAGTTATAAGTATCAATTTTTTAAAATGATTAATAAAGATTCTATTATAGTCGTTTTACAGACTAAATTTTTTTATTTATTATTTATTTTTATTAGAATATTTCACCTTCCGATATCTTATCAAATAATCAGGCGAATGGAGTCCGTTGGCGTCATTGTGTAAACAATGGTCAAGAGATGTACATTAACGAAGCAACTAATGAGAAAGTCAGTTTAAGGTTAATAATAATAACTATGATTGTTTTTAATTTTTATAAAAACTGGGAATTCATGTCTTTTTACTTTGGTTTTTCCGCTCATTTTAGTTACTCTGTGATCATATACCATTAGTAGCTTAAAATAAATAAAAGTTATAGGTTGATTGTGATAGTCATTACACTTAAATAATCAGTTAGAAATTATTGATTGACAACTGTTTGTACTCACGTTTTCTCTTAATTTTATATTGGTAAAATATTTCAGTAATGTGTTTACTGTGAATTTAATAGCTTAGACCAACAAACTGAAATGTTATTTTTCAATGAAAGGGTACTTAATTAGTAAATAGTGTTAATAGTGTTCGGTAAACAAATATTGTTTACTATGTTTTTTGTGTTGGGAATTTCATTACCATCGTCTTAACTTGAACCTTCTCGAATATTGACCTTTTTATTTCGAAGTACATAATATCCCTTATGAATTAGCGATTTCAGTCACATCACTTTGAATTATATTCGAATAGTGATAAGAAGTGTAGTTTGGAGATATTTTACTGTTTACTTTCTTGTATGAGATTGATTAGGGTTTTTATGCTGAACAGGTTACTTGAAGTTTTTCAGAGAACTGTTGCAATGCTCATCGTAACATATAGTTTGCTAGTTGCTTCATAGGTAAACAGTTTGGCAATAACAAATCCGATGTTGCTTTTTAGTTCCCTCTACAGTTTTTATATTTCTAAGAACAGATAAATTTGGTGCTGCTTAATTGAATATCTCACTTGGAATGGAAGTTATCAGTATTGTGTGTCAGATATATGCATAAGTGAATGAGATCTTAGTTTTTTCTGTTTTAATTAAGTAGTACCATGTCAGAATTTTAGCTAAGTGTTTTTAAGAAATTCAGTATACTTAAAAATAATAGAAATTTCACGTTTGTTTATGATGGATATTAATGCAATAAACGAGCTATACACAAACCCCATTTTCTGATTAATTTTAAGTGCTTCCTGTTAAGTAATTTGTAGCTGTGATAAATAGACATTTCTGCAAATTTAATTTTAAAAAAATTATAGTATTAAAAGGAAGCGATAAATTTTCTTATACATACTTGATAATTGACACAAGTAACTTCATGATGCGACAATTTTATGATGACTAGTTGTAAAAGTAAACAATTATTGTTTGCCTAAGATTTAAGTTTAAAGTTTTCTTCTCGTCCTTTTTCCTATCGAAATTTCTAGTGGGTTCCAGCAACTGATCAATATGGAAAAACATATTATTATGAACTAAACACTCGTCATTCCGTATGGGCACTTGAAGATCTAGAAACATCACCTACAGACGCGCCACATTCGTCCGACTCATTGAATAATTATTTAGATATTAATGAACCGAATGCTTCCAAGGAAGCTTTTGACTGTTCAGTATTTGAAGATGAAAATAATGGTTCTTATGTTGATCAGTATCCATCTGTATCTAGACTGTCAAGTATCAGTAAAGTTAATCGGAGAACAATGAGTCAATCTAAAGTGGTATGAGTTGGTTTTTAGTTCATTTTTTGTATAAATTAAGTTCCGCTTTTTATTCATGCATTAGTACCTTCTGTAAAAATGATTCAACATCTGCTACTACTTTTTTAGTTAATTGCAATCAGTTACTTGATGTTTCTACTTCACAATTTCCTTGTGACTGAAATATAATTACTTGAAAGACAATTATCGTTTGCTAAGATTATCCCACTCATTTTATGCACTCAGTGAATTAAAAAAAAGTAAGTGCCCACAAGATTTTTAAGCAAAGATGGATAGCGGCTAGCAGTGGAATCGAGGACGCGCGTTTCGTCCTATATGGGACTCGTCGGCTGGATATACCTGCTATTTATGATTGCATCCCAGAGTTGATGTCCACTCCTGGACTCAGACCCAGTACCGTTCGCTTCAAATGCCATCGCGTTATCCACTTAGCTACTGAGTCTTGATAACCACCTGCTTGTGCAATGAGGTGAAGTTGGTGTTGTTTTACTTGTAAATTCCCATTGTTATTTAGGACTGCAACTAATCAGTCTCATGTTGGCATATGTGCATCCTGTGCGGATTGTCTCAATATAGCCTTAAGTCACTATCCATATTTGCTTAAAAATATGCCAACATGAAACTGATCAACTGGAGTCCTAAATAACAATGGGAATATACAAGTAAAACAACACCAAGTGTATTTTAAGTGCTATTAGCATTTTTAGTTACTTTGCTCCTGTCATATGAATCGAGTATGGTACCTTTATGTTTATTATGCTCTCACTAGTCATTTATGTTGTGTAAAGGCATCAATAATTTCAGTAGAGAATGTTCATCACATCTTATTTTCATTTATTGCCTTCATAAACTTAATGCATTCTACTCTAATTGCTCAGAATGAACTCTGCAAAAACCAAGGATTTAACCAGGAAGTGTACATTGCTTTAGAGTTCATACTACTCACGAAATTATCTTTTATTATTTATAAAAATAAAAGAGAATAAATTGTTTATTACAAATTAATCGTTATTTTTTCAAAATTATTTCAATATCAGGGTTTAAGTTGTTTTAGTGTTTAGTTAACAGTAGAGATTTCAAACGCTTGATTAGTGGACACTGAAATTATTTACCTCGTCAGCCTTATCAAGGATTCTGTATACTCAGAGGCAGATACAAGTTGTTGAAAATGTAAAAACATGACTTTGAATCTATACTTATATCTCGTTCGAAATACTGAATTTGAAACTAATAACTGCATATGCAAACAGTTCTTTTGTTTTGTTTTACAGTCTCATCGAAGTTCACATGTACCTTCTGAAGTTTGTTCAACACAAGTCATCAATCGACCTTTCAGTTTAGTCAGTCTTGATGATCAAGATCAAGGAGCAGGTGGACGTTTTCAGATGAAGAATCTAAGCAAAGAACATATCAGTGGACCAAGTGAAAATAAACTTACGGTACATAAAAAGTTTTCTAGCTATATGTTCGTTTTCAAATTGATTCTCTAAAATCAGGCTAATTACTTACTTTTAAACTGTGCTGAAATTGTGATAGGTGTAGCTAGTGATTAGGATGTAATTGTCATTTATACTTTATTTTTTTATTTCTTAATGATCACTACAGTTTGTTTACAAATATACTTTACATATTTCTGCATATTAGATTAAACTGGCTGCAACAATAGCTATTAATTAGTCAGAAATGGTGGATATATGCAAATGAAACTGTTGAAAAATACAAGTTTTATATAGGCTTCTAAGCATTATGCTGTCTATAGTCGTAAAATAATCACTTTTATCGAATATCAAATTCTTTTGGTCCCCATCTGTAAGCTAAAAGACTGGACCTTTTGAAGATAATCCGAAACTCAGACAAAGGTATCTCATTCCCTTGTTTAGTGTTTATTAGAACTAAGCAATTGGTTGTAGAAAAACACATCATGTTCGATAATTCAACCCTACGCTCTAAACTTTATAATACATTTAGTTATTTGATACAGTAAAAATACTAACCTTTGATATCGATTCCGCAAAACATGTGTGGGTAATATAACGTTAGAAAATGTATGGTATCTGAGAAGAAATTTGAAATAGTCAAAGTCATAAGCAAGTAGCAGTAGAGAATTACAGAAACCAAAGTTATTTGCTACTGACTGATAATTAACTCTGTTAAATATATCTTAGTGAGAATTGGCTTTGAATATGGTATAATTAAAAACTCAAAAAATAAGAGTGCTAAAGTTCTCTTTACGGTGAATCGTTTACTCGATATTTTCCAACAAAATTTCATGGTTTAGATAAGCTAATAATTATTTCAGCCTTCACCCTTTTAAGTTTAACTATTTTATCACTGATTCAGATTTTACTCTTATTATTTCAGTTCGGATTGCTGGTAGTATCACTGCCCTTCATATAAACTGTGTAACCCAGTGTCGGGTACATAAAACTATCCTTAGGTCCCTTAATGCTCCGGTACGGCCGGAGGTGGGGAGAGTCCTTTCTCTCTCTCTCAAAATGCTCTCATATGGTCACACGTATATAGCTAGTGCCAGGGAAGTTCTGATCATTGCCTCTCAGAGGCAGGGTGTTGTTTACGAAATTAAGAGGATAAAAAGCGAATGTCCGGCGCTTTAACTGGGTTGATGCATGAAATTCTGTCCCAAGTCTATTGAAACCTCGCCACAAATTACACATCAGAGCCTTCAACGTACGCTTTTTATGTAAAATCGGCCAGCAGGCCTCTTAAGCTAAAACCCTAGAATCTCGTACCATTGATGTATGCTGTGTCTTCAAAACACACATACAGGATCTTAGTGTGGTTATTCACTTGACCTCACCTCGGCAAAACGGAGAGCCAACGAGATACACTCTCCGTGTATATGGTGACGCGATGGCCAGCTCTCGTGGACTGGCAGGAGTAGGGATAGCACTAAGCATGAGGGCGGGACAAGCACTGTTAGAGTGGATCCCCGTTAACAGTCTCCTATGTGCTGTTCGGCTAAACGGCTCCGTAAGAACTCGGAAGGATAGGGACACTCGTCGTTGCCTTTTTGCCGTTTCTGCCTACGCTCCCACCGACTGCAGCTCAGATGAAGTGAAAGATGAATTTTACAGAAAGCTATCTGAACTTCTTCAGAAAGTTAAACGTTCAGACATAGTACTCGTAGCAGGTGACTTTAATGCCCAGATAGGTAGCTTAAACCAAACAGAAAGGCATTTAGGTGGGTATTTTAGTATTCCGGCACAACGAACAGATAATGGCGATCGTCTGCTGCAATTGTGCTCAGACAATCATTTATTTTTAGCAAACACAAATTTTAAGCATAAGGAGAGACATCGTCTAACATGGAGACTGCCTGCACCAAACCATCGATGGACTCAAATAGACCATATTGCCATCAGTCATTGTTGGAGAGGGTCGGTAGAAGAATGTCGCTCATTCTGGAATACCTGTTCGGACTTCGATCATGCTCTAACACAAGCACGCATTTGCTTTCACCTCTCTGGATGCAGAAAAACCACATTAAGAAGACCCACTAGAATTCAACTGAGTGACGAGAAAGCCGAACGCAAATTCCACGTTGACTAATATTTTAAACAAAATCTGGGAGTTGGACGTTATCGCATCTGACTGGTCACAATCATTGATTGTCCCAATATATAAGAAGGGGTCAAAATCATGTGACAACAATGGAGGATTAGTTTCACTAACGTAGCATCCAAAATACTAGTCTCAACAATGATCGGGCGCCTAACAAAGACTCGTGAACTGTAAACACGAGAAAATCAGGCTGGCTTCAAACATGGTCGTGGCTGCATCGACCACAATCCATCATCGGCGTCCGACAATGATAGTTTTTCTTAACTTGAATGTAAACCGAGAGGTGCTGTGGCAGTGTCTATCATTGAAAGGCGTACATTAGAAATACATAAACTTTGTGAGGGCTCTTCACTCGAACACTACTAGTCGAGTCAGAGCTTATGGCAAACTGTCATCTGCTTTTGTAACCTCAAGTGATGTCCTCCAAGGTTGTTCACCAACTACATTTTTGTTCAGCTTCATCATAGACATACTGCTGGAGTTAAAGTTCTCATCAACTGAATTTTCGGGCATTGATCTCCTACCAGGAGGTTCACTTATCGACTTAGAATACGCAGATGATATGGTCCTGTTTAGTGAAGACGCTAATAATATGCAGTCTTTTGGTAGCACTGAGCAACAATACCAGGGTGTTTGCGATGCGTTTCTCTCCCTCGAAATACAAGTTGTTGCTTCAGTACTCGCCGAGTATACTCGTACGTTAATTGATAGTCGGATATCTTGCCTTTGTCATAGGTGACATAAATTGGCAAAAGCCAAGCAAGTTTTCTGAATCCGTGTAGAGATTTCGTCAGACACCAACCCATTAGGGTTGATCAGACTTCTAAAATAAGTAAAGTTGTCGACTCGTTCGACTACATCAATCATTATCCTTAGTTCAGGTGTTGGTGCAGGCCAGGAAAATAAAAAATTCTCTTAATGTTGGTTTCAAATGCACATCATTATTTAGAGTTTTACAAATTTTGACAATCTAACTTTTTTCTTCTGCAAGTACACAAAACCTATAGTTTGCCAATGAATGATTGATGTTAAGCATTTATTTCGTTTTCTTAAATTATATTCAACAATTTGATAAAAAGAAAAACACAAGTGATTTTTATTGTAAATTTTAGCACTTTGAACGACGTGGTGCAGTTATTCGTACAATGTTAATTGAAAATGGCAAACGTATATCAAAAAAATGGATACCAGGTGTATTACATCTTAGTGGTCCATTACTTTTTTTATACAAAGATAATAAGCCTTCGTTACCTGTAAGTCAATTTTCCAATGGTGCTTAAATTATATTCAAGGTATTTTTTGTTGTTGAAAAATCTGTCAATTTTCTTTCTTAGAGTGTATTTAATTGATTTTGGAATTTTATATCAATATCATGTACTAGCTTAGAATATTTTCTTGCATAGGAAATTGAAACTGATAATAAAATCATTTATTGTGAACTAAATAATCATAGTAATCTTCCTTTATAAATATTTTTGATGTAGTATTATTAACCATTTATGAGCTGAATGAATATTTGATTAAATTACATTTATGTTTTAGCACACTAAATAGTTCATTTTCAAATAGTCAGTGTTAGTGGATAAGTTGAAAAGAGTATTGAATTTTCATGTGTAAAGTTTCTGTATACATTACCATTCTCTTTCCTTATTAACTTACTGTTTGCTTTGGAATATATTTGTGTTTCTATCCAAGTTATGATTTGATTTAGCAACCTGTCGAGTGAAGTATCCAAGAATACTAGGCTGAAGAAGACTTAATGCTCTTAGTTAATTTTTGTACAATGGAAGTTACAACACAATAAATTACATTAAATGAATTGACAATATAGAAAAATATCTGATATAATAATGGTCCCATTAATCATGAGGACTTTATCCAGGAAGTCTGCATTGAGTGAGGCCAACAACCAATGAAATAATGGGATAGTGTCATTTCTTGACCTGGTCACTGCTCCTTCTTTCGTACCCAGAGTCAGTATCACATCTCACGTCTCAACATATGTTTACCTCCAACCAGCATTCTCCAACCCACTCTGTTCTGGGCCTTTCTTTCTATTTCTATCCAATTGTTGTTCATTCTTCTCATGTCTGTCGCCATTTCTCGGCGTAATGTGTTCTTTGGTCTTCCTTTCCTCCTTTGGCCCTGAGGATTTCAAGTGAGGGCTTGCCTTGTGATGCAATTGGGTGCTTTCCTCAATGTGTGTCCTTCCATTTCCAGCGCTTCTTCCTGCTTTCTTCCTCCACTGGGATCTGGTTTGTTCACTCCTACAGTAGGTTGTTGCTGAAAATGAGTATATATATATATATATATATATAGTATTACATTTACAGTACTATAAACTATAGAGTAAAATACAATTTATCAAATAAACATAATTATTGAAGTACCACTGCATAACTAGAAATATCCTCCACACAAACAACCGTAGATCACATGTACAAAGATGTACAGAGGGAACCATTGTTTAGTACATTCATCCCTTGGTAGAGGACAAAATGTCACGTCAGCGTTACATTTAATGTTAATTTACGATCAACTGAATAATCCCTGCATCACTTCAGTAATAATGTCAGGAACGAACTCAGCAGGATTGATGCAGTTTTTTAAATAAATAAAATGATGTATGAACGTAAACATTCCCCGGTTTATCTTGAAACTAGGTTATGGGGGGAGGTGATGACTGTGCCTTCTTAATTATACTGACTTAAGAACACTACTCGTAGTTAGAATGCAATAAATTTTCATACACTCTAAATCCCAACTTCCGACTCAATTTTATAAACCAAGTTTGTAACGTAACAGTCACTGCATAGTGTAGGTATCCTGTTTCAGTGTCTACAACATTAATTTATTCTATGTTGTTAAGAGACTATGACGTAATAAACAATCACTTGTCTGTCTTTTATTCGTAATCCAATTAGCTTATCTAAATTTTTACCGATTCTGATTTATTTTATAGTAGATATACAAAAAATAATTTAATATCACCTCTTAGTTATCATGTTTTAAGATATTTACATAAGCTAATGATAAAACTCCTATATAAAATTTATGTTTTCTTATTTCTTCCAAATGAAAATCCAAGAGTTTAAAATTTGTAGATCGGTACCTACTTCATGAAAGATAAATGGTCGTCAACTATCATTTACATATGATGATGAAAGTATTATTTCTTGTTTATATTGGATTTATTTAACTAAAACATTTATGACTAAATGGAAATATTGAGGCAATCTGCACAGGGTGTATATATGCCCAAAGCGATTGATCACTTACAGTCCATAATATTATACAACTGATGGGCACAAACACTTTTAAATTAAAATCATACTGATTGTACAAGTTATTGTTTTTATCTAGACTTAGTAATTCAAGGATTAATCGACTTCGATTTGAAACATATATTACATTAGGTTTACAATTTGCTGTTGAACACAAAAAAACAATAATTTTCTATCATATTTACTTAAAACTTAATTATCATCAAAATTGACTAAAGAATTAGGGAGAAAATCAACTTTTGTAATGATTCTTATAATATTTATTTATTTGTTTAAAAAATATTGATTAGAAAATACATCAACCACTTGGTAAACCTGACGTTCAATTCAACATTAGAGAGGTAAAAGTTAGCGAAGCAAACGGTGAACAAACATCAAGAAAGAATGTGCTCAAAGTTAGTAAAAATTACAATGATATAATTTTGTTTTTATACTTTGGTTTCGTTGATCATGAAACAATTATATACATATATTCAGTGACTGATTGATTCTTCGTAACATTCTATTTCAATAAAAAACTGATTTGATATAGTATGCGGTTACTTAAGGGATGTAACTTGCAAGGATTATTCTATTGGAAAATGTGAAAAACTATGAAAGAATAAGATAGGATGCATTCACTTTAATTCTATTCTAAAGTAAAATGTATGCCTTTCTCAAACAATTAAAAGATTTTATCGAAATGACTTGGTTGTTAAAGTGAATGGGGTTTAGACAGATCTGCTGTATGACATGAGAATCAGATCATAATTATTGATTTGTTTATCTCTGTTTTATGTTTTCCACATACTTCTCAATCGAATGTAGAAGGTTAATCTCTGACTCTCTTCAGACCATAAGTATTTTTTAAAAAATCAACTAGATTGTGATTGCGAAACAGATAAATGACATCTTAACGTATTCTTTTTTATTCTCTTCTATTCTCTCTAACTTACCTCTCGTACTACATTGTAATGACTGTCAGGATAATTCTCTTTATCTGGAGCCATGATTGAATAGTTTTTAAGAATTTAACTTTTAGTCATTAGCTCCCAAGTTTAACAAACACTATTTGATTCAGTTTACCACGTGATACCAAAAGTGTTCAAGTAACAAATGTTTCTAGGAGTCAGTTGTGAATATTTTTGTTTTACTACTCACCTATATTAACCTTTTACTGTCCTTAATATCCACTGAATCAGTTTGAATATCATCTCATGTTCGTCACCTTCCTTGAAGTATACTGAAGTAACTCTCAGGTTATCATTTAGTTTTGAATAAGCATTTTAAAATTATTTACATTGGTAGTTTGTGTAGATTCGTACAATTTTTTCAACAGTAATGAAAATCAGTTTGGTATTTGCTCGTTACTTATCAGGAGTGATCAAAAACTATTTTTATGCAAAATGTAACTTTTTACATTTGGGTATGGTGTTTGCACTTATTTTGACAGACATAAATAGTATGTGACACCAATCGGAAGTGGAATGCCTTTCAAAAGAAGGTTGAGGAGATTGAACTGAAGAAAACTGAAAGGAAAACATGAAGGGATTGAGAAATAGAAGAATCGTGAAGGATGTAAAGGACTATTAATGGAAGATTTGTAGTTGAGATGTTTAATGTATGGTTTAAACATTTTATGAAAGAGCTCTGTAATTTTGCATTAAACAATAAATTAGTTGTCCCCAACTGAGTTCTCGTTCATTATACGAGTACGACGTCATTCGGTCATTAGGCCAAAATTTATTGGTCACTATATTCAATCTAATTGATTATTCGAACTTTCTTTGTAGTCTACTGACTGATTTTGTTCACATAAACGCTACTTATGTTAACAACTCGTATCAATCGGACTACTGGTAAAAGGAATAAAATCTTTTAATTGTGTAGATCTCTTGTATTTACTTAAACTAACCCATACGTTGATCTAATTCAGAACTTGAGCAAAGATTATGTTGCGAAACAATAACTTTGTACTGATCTTTTTGAATAGTGGATAGTTTTGATAAGATTTGCCCGTGTCCACTGACAAATCCATGGTAATATTTACTAATTGAAGACAAACAATGAGGCAGCTTTTATCTAGAGATAGTTTATTTTTATTTGTACATTTATTTAAATAAGAATAAATATTCACTCATTAGCAGAACACGATCTGATTGGCTTAATAAACATGGATCTACCATCCTGTCACTTAATTACATAAACTCGTGTAGTCGTTTACTTATTCTGACATGACTCAGAAAAAGATGGACACATTATACATTGCCAGTCCAGGAGATTGGATCGATGGGCAGAACACTTTAGGGATCAGTTCAACTGGCCTTCAGCCACACTTTGGTTTCCCACGATCTCCAGTCAACCTGAATGGCAAGTTAATGTAAGTTCTCCGACTCTTTACGAAGTTGAAAAAGCTATCGGACATATGAAGCGAGGGAGAGCAACAGGCCCTGACAGGTTTACCCCTGAGATTTTTAAGGATGGCGGCCCAGTATTAGCAGTGAGATTGACTGAGGTCTTAAATAGAATCTGGGAACTGGACGTAATCCCATCTGACTGGTCTCAATCACTGATTGTGCCAGTCTATAAGAAAGGACAAAAGTCCTCTTGTGACAATCACAGAGGAATCAGTTTGACTAATATAGTGTCTAAAATATTGGCTTCAATAATACTTCGACGCCCAACTGGAGCTCGTGAAGAGCAGACTAGAGAAAACCAGGCTAGTTTCCAACCTGGATGTGGCTGTATAGACCAGATATTCACACTACGTCAGGTCCTAGAACACAGACACACATTCAGACGCCCCACAATGGTAGTATTTCTCGACCTTAAGGCGGCATTCGACTCTGTTGATCGTGAGGTTCTATGGCAGTGTTTGTCACTGAAAGGAGTACCAAAGATGTACATTAACCTTATAAAAGCTCTCTACTCGAACACAACTGGTTGAGTGAGAGCTTATGGCGAACTGTCATCAGAATTGATTACCTCAAGTGGTGTTCGTCAGGGCTGTCCACTCTCCCCATTCTTGTTCAACTTTGTGGTCGATGTACTTTTAGAGATAACACTCTCCTCATCTAAATTTCCAGGGGTTGAACTTGTACCGGGAGGTTCACTTGTTGACTTAGAATATGCCGATGACATAGTTTTATTTGGTGAAGACGCTGACAAAATGCAGAGTCTTCTGACCACTGTAAGCAACAATGCAAGCATGTTCCGGAGGTGATTCTTCCCTGGAAATGCAAAATGTTGCTTCAAGATTGGGTTGCATTGACATCCGAACTAATGATAGGGAGTGAAGTAGTTGAGTGTGTCAACCGCTTCACTTATCTTGGAAGTCTCATCAGCCCTTGTGGTCTGGTGTGTGTTGAAATCTCAGCACGGATACAGAAGGCTCGACTAGCTTTTGCCAACTTGCGCCATTTATGGCGTAGGCGAGATATCCGTCTATCAACCAAAGGACGTGTTTACTGTGCAGCAGTTCGTCCCGTCCTAATTTATGGCAGTGAAACATGGCCGGTAAGAGTAGAGGATATTCGCAGGTTACTAATATTCGATCATAGGTGTTTTCGAAACATTGCTCGTATATCATGGCACCATCGAGTAAGTTATTTAGTTGTTAGGAAACGGGTACTAGGTAAGGATGGCAAATCGATTGATGACGTAGTGAAACTTCATCAGTTGATATGGCTGGGACACGTGTTACGTATGCCCAACTACCGACTACCTCGATGTGCTATGTTCAGTGGTATAGGAGTAGGTTGGAAGAAAGCTAGGGGCGGCCAGACCAAAACATGGCACAAGTCCATGAAGTCACTGACAAGTGGACTGAGTCATTTTGTTAGTTGTAGACTACCTGGTTGGGGACCACGAGATGATAGCCAACGATGGTTAGAGACCCTGAATGACATGGCTCAAAATCGTTTGCAATGGCGCAGGTGCATCCATTCTCTGTGTTCTCCCAAATTCTAATCTTCTGCATTCTTCATGTCCCTTTGTTCCTCTTTCCAAATTTATTTCACTGGATTATACTCCTTGAATAGCATCTTCAAACCCTAATGTTTCCGATTACTGCTTATACTCTTTCTACCTCTACCACTACGGGATTTGAATCGATAACTGCATCTCTGTGCTAAGGTGGTGTGGCAACTCGAACTGATGTACGTACGTACGAAGTTCTACGTTGTTACTGACTGACTGGCATTATTTAGACTTGTTAAATGTGAATTAATACTCATCTTTACTGAGTTTAATTTAGTTTCCATTCCTACTTTTTGATAACCTCAGATTGAATGTGAAACTGCTGGAAAGTTGAATGTTCATTTAGTACAAATCCCAGCCATCGATTATGAATCGTGGAAAGCTGCAATACGATATGCGAAGGATCTTTTGGTAGGATGACTTTTTTATGTAACACTGTCATGTTTATTTATCTATATTTTAATGAAAATAATTAAATTTACTGACATTTAAAGTTTTAGAATGTTAAACAGAGGTTTAGTCTCCATCATTAGTAAAAAGGCTTTGAATCACCCAGTTGTTGATATTCTTCACTGAGTTTTTATCAGGGTGAACATTTTTCAAGACGGATCGATCAAAATTGAGCTAAGAATGTTAATAGGGTGAAGATGAAAATGCTGATGAATTAAATTAATTCTCGTTAAACAAGGTAGCGGCTACCTGAACTCAGTCGGTCAGTAGATAACCTGTTACGCCCTTTGAGACCAATAGTACTGGATTCGAATCCAGTGTAACCATCAATACCTAGATGCAAGTACATTCAGCTGGCCAGTACAAAACAAGCGTCCTAGGTTTCACTGCTAATTACAATCCATCTGTTCTTAAAAGAACAAAGTTGTTTCATTGTTTTCCCACCCAATTCATATCGTTTTCGCTTGACTTTCATTAGGCTATACAACTTTGGTTGATAATTAGGAAGCACTATTGTATTCTTAGTGATGTTTTTCAACCTATTTTCAATGGGCCTTTTTATCATTTAACTTCTGCTTAACATACTGATAATCATATTATGATGTCTCCTATTGTTCTACAATAATTTTCGATGATTTGGATAATTGAATTCACAGCATCGTTTGATGCTTATGTGGACCTTGTACAAATAGATTGATGTGAGATGAAAATAAACTGAATGTTTTAGCAGGATCAAATCCTAACAATTTTATGCTTCATGATTATCCTGATTGGTCTCTTTTTTAACCAATCAATACTGATATAGCAATGTAGAATACTCTAGAAGTCCTAATATTTCTAATAATTCTGTATAAACTAAAGTGTTTTTAGTATTATATCCTTATTGTTTCGACTCATTGGAACTTACTCCGTTTCCACTTATTGGTATTCTGATTTGCATCGGGTCTAGGGAAGTGAAGTGGTCAAACGATATTCAACGAAGAGAAACTTAGTAAAATATCCTTAAAAATTATTTACACTTTGCACAAAGTTCGTTTTCGTTGCATTTATTTTTGTTTTATATTCAGGACCGAGTCTTAATAAGTTTTCTTTGGTAAATGTGGGTCGTGTGTCACTTCCTTCAATTTAACCATTTTATCATTTATTCTATGTATTGATGTGTTGATCAGAGCTTCGTTCAATGTTTTAATGTTATTTTTAAATCTGTTTTGGCATGTCGTAATGCTACAATCATTATTCTTAGAGTTGAATAAGTTTTGGAATCAAGCATTTAATGTTGATCGCGGTATTTTTGCTGTGAACATTTACTTAATGTTTATTGTTGGTAAACATTAGAAACAATAAATTAGTTGATGTTCACACTTTCCATTGTTTCATATCAGTCATATTGTGCTATATATATATATATATATATATATATATATATATATATATATATATATATATATATATATATATATATATCGTGTCGTTTTTTATATCCAACCCTGTCCTGGGCAATCCTTTCCAGCTCCTTCCAGTTGTTATTCGTCCTTTTCATATCTGCTTCTATTTCCCAACGTAATGTATTCTTTGACCTTCCTTTTTTCCGCTTCCCTTCAGGATTTCAAGTTAGGGCTTGCCTCGTGATGCAGTTTGACGATTTGCGTAATGTATGTCCTATCGATTTCCATCGTCTTTTCCTAATTTCTTCTTCAGCTGGAAGCTGGTGTGTTCTCTCCCAGAGAAAGCTGTTGCTGATGGTATCCGGCCAATGGATGTTGAGTATCTTGCGTAGACAACCATTTATAAATGCTTGTACCTTCTTGATGGTGGTCGTTGTAGTTCTCCAAGTTTCAGCTCCGTACAGTAGAACTGCCTTGACGCTCGTGTTGAAGATTGTGACTTGGATATTGGTTGAAAGTTGTTTTGAGTTCCACATGTTCCTCAATTGTAGGAATGCGGCCATTGCTTTGCGAATCCTCGTCTTTACGTCTGCACCTGATCCTCCTTGTTCATCGGTGATGCTTCACAGGTATGTGAAGGACTCTACATCTTCCAGAGTTTCGCCATCAAGAGTGATTGGATTGCTGTTCTCCGCTTTGAATTTGAGGACCTTGGTTTTCCCTTTGTGTGTGTTGAGGCCTACTGATGTAGAGACTGCTGCTACACTGGCTGTCTTTATCTGCATTTGTTCGTGTGTATGCGATAGGAGAGCTAGGTCATCTATGAAGTCCAAATCGTGTAATTGATTCTGAGCTGTCCATTGTATCCCGCGTTTTCCCTCCGATGTTGAGGTCTTCATAATCCAGTCGACCACCAGAAGAAAGAGAAAGGGAGAGAGTTGACAGTCTTGTCTGACTTCCGGTCTTTACTTGGAATGCATCTGTCAGTTGTTCTCCATGCACGACTTTGCATTGTAGTCCGTCGTATGAGTTCCGGATAATATTGACAATCTTCTCAGGAACTCCGTAGTGTCGAAGAAGTTTCCATACCGTCCTCCTATCTACACTGTCGAATGCCTTTTCATAATCGATGAAGTTGATGTACAGTGACGAGTTCCACTCAACTGATTGTTCGACGATGATCCATAGTGTTGCAATTTGGTCTGTGCACGACCGATCCTTACGGAATCCAGCTTGTTGATCTCGAAGTTGGGCGTCTACTGCATCCTTCATCCGGCTCAGCAACACTCTGTTGAAGACTTTCCCTGGTATTGACAGTAGTGTAATGCCTCTGTAGTTTTCACATTTGCTCAGATCTCCTTTCTTTGGAATCTTGATGAGGTGTCCTTCTTTCCAGTTCATCGGCACTTGTTCCTCCTCCCAAATCTTTTTGAATAGAATGTAAAGCATGTTTGTAGTTACTTCGATGTCTGACTTCAGTGCTTCAGCTGGTATGTTGTCAGGTCCAGCTGCTTTTCCGCTCTTGATTTGTCTGATGACCATTCTGATTTCTTCCGTCGTTGGTGGATTGACATCTATAGGAAGATCTGTGTGTGTTGCTTCGATGTCCGGTGGATTCATTGGAGCCGGCCTATTCAGGAGTTCCTCGAAGTATTCTACCCATCTGTCCCACTGTTGTTGAATTTTAGTGATTGACCTACCTTATTTGTCCTTGACCAGTCTCTCTGGTTTACTATATTTCCCTGCTAGTTTCTTCGTTGTATCGTAAAGTTGTTTCATATTTCCTTCCCTTGCAGCTTTTTCCGCCGTCATTGCTAGTTCTTCCGCGTATTTCTTCTTGTCGGCTTTAATGCTCTTCTTCACTTGCTTGTTTCCTTCTATGCATTCAGCTTGTGCTTGAACTTTCTCTGCTCGTGTTCGGCTGTTGTTAATTGCTGTCTTCTTGTTCTTCCTTTCTTTGATCCTGTCCAGTGTTTATAGAGATCCATTCCTTATGATGATGCTTCTTCAGGCCCAGAACCTCTTGACACGCTGAAGTTTGTGCTTCTTTGGTATCTTTCCAGTTGTCCTCCATAGTAAATTCTTCTTCCTTCAGTAAATCCTGTAAGGCTTGGAACCTGTTGTTGAGAGCTATCTTGAATTCATTGAGTCTGTCTGTATCTCGAAGGAAGGCTGTATTGAATCTTTGTAGTGTTGTTTGTCCAGTTGTCCAGTTCTTTTTTAGCTTCAGTTTTAAATTGGCCACAACTAGGTGGTGATCTGAAGCTATGTCGGCTCCTCTCCTGGTTCTCATATGTTCCATTGTCCTTCGGAATTTTTTGTTGATGCAAATATGGTCTATCTGGTTCTCTGTAGTGTGGTCCGGTGAGATCCACGTGGGTTTGTGTATACGTTTGTGTGGAAATATTGTGCCGCCTATGATCAATTTTTGAATTCAAACAGATTTGCAAATCTTTCCCCATTTTCGTTTCTCTCTCCCAGTCCATGTCGTCCCATGATGTCTTCATATCCAGTGTTGTCTCTTCCAACTTTGACGTTTTGGTCTCCCATCAGAATGGTGAGGTCCTTTCTTGGGTGTTTCGCTGTGTTTGATTGCAACCTCTCATAGAATTGGTCTTTAATATTGTTGTTGTTATCATTGGTGGGTACATAACATTGGATAATATTCATTGTGATCCCCTCCTTCTTTGTTTTGAATGATGCTTTGATGATTCTGGATCCGTGAGATTCCCATCCTACAAATGCATTTCGTGCTACTTTGGACAGCATTAGAGCAACTCCCTGAGTGTGTGGAGCATTTTCCTCTTCGTGACCGGAGTATAGCAGCATCTCTCCCGTAGCTAGCCTTTTCTGTCCAGCTTGGGTCCAGTGAGTTTCGCTGATTCCCAGTACTGCCAAGTTGTATCTCCTCATTTCCGTTGCTATTTGACTGATCTTCCCGGTTCCCCACATTGTCCGTACGTTCCATGTACCTATAAAAATGTGTTGCTCTGGTTATTAGAAGGGGCATCGGCCTTGTGGCTTCCGAAGCAACTCAGCTTTCACCATGAGGCGTCATAGTTCTTCTAAATGAAGACCTTCTAACTCCCGGGGCAGAGTTGAAATGGTTTGAATTATTTTTACTGGTTAGCGTTTTTTAGCGAGTTAGTTTTCTACGGGATGAGGTCGCTAACCCCGTGCCCAACCCTCCTCCTTTACCCGGGCTTTGGACCGGCAGTAACTCTAGAAGAGCTATAGGCGTAGTTAATCGGTAATGTGCATATTTTAAACTGAACGTTTTGACTTGTTGAAGCTAAAATTATGTCTTTGTAGAAAAAACCTATAATACTGAACTATTTTACTGCGTTGTAACCAGATAATCATACACACTCACTACTTCAATGTTAATCAACTACCCCTTGTGTTTTTGTAATAGTTGGAACATACTAAAACCACCTTTGAAATGTATTTTATGTAAAGGCCATTATTTGTTTAAAATCCATCGAAAAAAAAACACGTCACTTATGTATTCAAGCATTTAGAAGTACATCTTAATTATCAGGCATTAGATTAAATAAAGAAAAATGCTTGTATGTATCAATATATCTTTATAAGTTTCTATTTCACGTAAAACATACAACTAAAAAAATATGTAATTAGGTATTTAGTAAGAATTGATTTATATGCCATAAACTAAATAACAGGAAATACAATTTTTGTGATATTATTTATTCTGAATTAGTATAATATACATATTTACAATTCTTCTTAGAAATTCTAAGCAACTGAAAAAAACACCCCATATTACTCTTATCTAATTCTTGTCTTCTTGAAAGAAAAAAAAATATACCAAATTCGATTCACTTATATGTTTCAATAGTCTAATTGGTCATTTATCTAAATTAATACTTTTATTATTAGTATACCTTTCATAAGGTTGTAGAACTTGGAAATAACTGGCAAACAAATAAAATTACTCTTTAATTTCTATAGTAACAAAAATCTGGGATTTTAAGTTTCATCATTTAATTTTGTTCAATTTTTTTTAGTATCCCATAGGTTACAAGAATTTCGAAATTGATTAATAAGTCAACTTTCCAAAAGGGATTGATTTTAATAGAAGTAAAATGAAAGTTTGTAAAATATTTTGTCAATAATAAAACGAACAGAATGACCATCTTTAAAAAAAATACAGCAATGAATATAAAGAAGTAAACTAGAAAAATGTTTTATTATCTTTTTAAGTAAGAATAAAATTAATTTATAAAACTAACTACTGTCTCTTTTATCATTTATGGTACATTAATTAGAATGAAGATCATGGAGTCACGTTAGGACGTTCATTAACCAGATGTAAGTGATACTCGTATATAAATTACTTCTTTTGCTTATTGATTTCTACATTTTGTTTTTCAGAAATCCCCTATGAATCCATGCTTACTTTTATCCGAATATCTATCTAATAAAAAGCTTAAATGGATAAGCACTGTGATGTGTGGTGTCAGAGACCCACTGACAGATTGTAGTCTTTAAAAGTGCTTTGGATATATCTTTTCCTCTTTTTAATTCAAACTGCTGCTTCGGAATTGATATAACTTAATACTTGCTGTTATCAATAATAATAAGTGAAGTAGTTAGCTCTGTCTACCGCTTAAGTTATCTTGGAAGTCTAATTAGCCTTTTTTCACCTATGAATGGTGATATCTTGACATGAACACAGAAAACCTTTCATCTCTGATAAACTATACCACTTTTGTTTTAAGCGAAGTTTTCATCTACCGAGCAAAAGGCGAGCATATCATTCAGGAATCAGTTTTATATTAGTTTATGAGTGCAACATATGACCACACGAAGTAAAAACAGATTTGAATCGTAAGTATTTTGTGATTAGCATCTTGAAAGCATTAATTTAATATAGCATAACAACTTCTTAGCTTATAGTATTGTTAGCTGTCAAGATATGAGGGATGATAACTAATTATACACCTTCAGACTCATGCAGTTAAAAATGTATTACATATACCTAATCACTGTCTGTAAATGTTATAGAGTGTGATTTGGACAATAAATAGTGGGATGACCAGGACAAGAAATGTTACTAATCCGTGATGCCAATGGGTAGAAACTAGGCGATATATTATATAAAAATCCACGATATCATAGAGGCATTTATATAATCTTTTCCCGTAAATACCCAGTTTTGTACCATCTCTATTTCTTATCTTTTTTAACAATTTTATGTTTCACGTTTTATATATCTTCTACATTCGTATCATTATTTTTACTTCTTTATTGAACGTCTAGTTGATTCCTTCAAGTTTCCCTTTTTGTTATAAAACATAAAATTGGACGAATACTCGTTTATCCCAAGTTTGCATGTCGTTCACATTTGCTCGATGAGAAATGTTCAAGTGTTTGGTTTCGTCAGTCTATTTTTGACAGTAATTTTATAGTTACTTAGTTACCTAGAGGAAAAATTATGTTTAGGAATTAAATGTTGTCGTTATCCAACAGTTTTCACTTATCCTTATTCTTGCTCAACTCTGTTACAAATATAGTTTCATTTATATCTTAAATCTCACCGGATAACTTAGACTATCCAAATTATATTATCATTTATGAAGAAGCCAGTTGGTAAAATAATCTTTTTTTAATCAAAAACCTAATTATCTCCTTATTGAAATTTTCACAAGAATTTTAAATTATTCTTAGTATAAATTATTTAATAGTAGTCAGATTATACTAAGTGAATGCTTCTATCTTGTGAATCACGCATCCATGGATATGTTTTTTTCACAGCCTCTCTTTGTATAATGGTACTAATATTGACATAGTAAATGCACAAATATTTTAAGAATTTATCAAATGACTTACTAATAGGTATATATATATATATATATATATATATATATATATATATATATATATATATATATATATCATACTAACTTATTGGCTGGATACACATGATATACTGTACTTTAAGTGCATATGCTATTTTCAGTACTCTCATCCACTTGGAATACACTTCTCTTGATATATGTTATTGAGTAATACTTAAATTATAAGCCTCTAATGGATAGACTTAAAGCAAAAACTAAAGGATTTTTATATCATCTTGCAAAATTAAGTAGGTTGATTTTGATTTATTATTATTTTTACACATCAATAAAATATGTATTTCTGTTCATTTTTAGCGCTATTTACTGCTTCCAAGTAATTTCCATTACTAACTAATATTAGCTAAAATAAGTATTGAAAATTACAAAACAGTGGATACAGATTTGATTCAGTTTTGGACATCTTATCAATAAGTATCGACGAAGCTAATTTATGTATCTGCATTCTAATATGTATTTATCTATAGGAATTTACGAGATTACTGCGATACAAATAATCGTATTACGCTAAATTCATATAAAACGATAATTTAATCTTGCAGATTGTGAGATACTAATACAAATCCAATTAGCCAGCGAATTTACGTTATTCTACTGAATACTTTATTCCTATTCTCTAACTTGAAAGAGTTATCTACCAAAACGCTTCACAAAAATAGTCGTAACTGCAGCCTAATCTAACCATAAATTTGATAATTTTGTGGGTTCCTGGGTGGGTTCCCGACCGTTGTTGCTACCTTGACGTGGTGGTCGGGCTTGCCTATCGTGATGAAGCAACCGAGCTATACTGGCTGGAACAACTGTTCCTCAAGGTCCTACCATGTCAGACAGGTCGGTTGAAGAGCGGTAAGACTAAAAGCAACAAACCCAAGGTCCGAAGGCGAAGTCGTACTGCTGACTGTACAGAGGTGTGACAGCAGTAAGGTGTTTCCTTCAGACAACCAGCATGACAGCGATGCTGCCTTCCCACAAGGAGGGGTGGGGTTAGAAAAGGTCGACCCTAAAAATGCACACCTCACCTTACCTCACGGATCTCCGTCTCCGGCGGTAAGGCCCTTTGAAGAACGGAGCTAACACGTCGAAAACCTTCCACGAAAAGGCCGTGCGCGACCGGCCTCAAGCAGTTGTCCCTTGGGCACTGCGGTCACGCTCTCAGGTCACTGAGACCACCTCTAATCCAATTTCCTTTTCAGGTACCTCCAGAAGAACCCTTCCTCGGTGTGGGCAACCGGGAAGTGATAACCGCCCTCATACCTCTAACAGCACCCAAGATCACTGTATTCATAATCAACCTTCCTCTTCAATTCCTATTATTCCTCCTACATCGACTTTCAACCCTAAACTTCCTCCTTCGGCTTCCTCTTCAAGTGTCACCATAGCCAACGATTCTAGTGCTCAAAACTCTGTCCCAGGTCTACTGAAACCTCGCTCCAAACTACACATTGGAGCTTTCAACGTACGCACTCTATGTCAAATCGGTCAACAGGCTTCCTTGGCTAAAACCCTAGAGTCTCTTACCATTGATGTATGCTGTGTCTCTGAAACACGCATACAGGATCCCAGTGTGGTCATTCACTTGACCTCACCTCGGCAGAACGGAGAGCCAACGAGATACACCCTTCGTGTATCTGGTGACCCGATGGCCAGTTCTCGTGGACTGGCAGGTGTAGGCATAGCACTAAGCATGAGGGCCGAACAAGCACTGCTAGAGTGGATCCCCGTCAACAGTCGTCTATGTGCTGTTCGGCTAAACGGCTCCGTAAGAACTCGGAAGGATAGGGACACTCGTCGTTGCCTTTTTGCCGTTTCTGCCTACGCTCCCACCGACTGCAGCTCAGATGAAGTGAAAGATGAATTTTACAGAAAGCTATCTGAACTTCTTCAGAAAGCTAAACGCTCAGACATAGTACTCGTAGCAGGTGATTTTAATGCTCAGATAGGTAGCTTAAACCAAACAGAAAGGCATTTAGGTGGATATTTTAGTATTCCGACACAGCGAACAGATAATGGTGATCGTCTGCTGCAGCTATGCTCAGACAATCGTTTATTTTTAGCAAACACAAATTTTAAGCATAAGGAGAGACATCGTCTAACATGGAGACTGCCTGCACCAAACCAACGATGGACTCAAATAGACCATATTGCCATCAGTCATCGTTGGAGAGGGTCGGTAGAAGATTGTCGCTCATTCTGGAGTACCTGCTTGGACTCCGACCACGCCCTAATACGGGCACGCATCTGCTTGCGCCTCACTGGACGCAAAAAAGCCACATTAAAAAGACCCGTTAGAACTGAGTTGAGTAACGAGAAAACCAAAAGTAGGTTCCAGGAACAACTGAGGTCACACTTAGGTAGATGTGAAGACCAGGCTGACCCAGATGTTGCTTGGAAGGGCATACAATCAGCTGTGGAAACAGCAGTGACATCTATTAGTGACTTAAACCACAGAGTTGCAAGGAACCAGTGGATTTCTTCAAGGTCTGTCACACTGATGGATTCTCGCAAAGTCGTCCCATCAGGTTCTGAACATGATGAAGAGCGAAAACAAATCAGATCTAGGTTAAGTAAAAGTCTAAGGAACGACCGTGAGCAGTGGTGGGCAACGAAAGCAAAGAGATGGAAGAGGCGGCGGCTATAGGGAACACAAGACAGCTCTACAGACTAATAAAAGAAACTGGAATTAATAAATCAAGTGTAATTCAGACTATTTCGGAAAAAGACGACACTCTCATCTGCTCTCAGTCCAGACGTTTAGAACGATGGGCGGAACATTTCAGAGAACAGTTCAGCTGGCCTTCAGCTACTCTACAACTACCCTCCATTCCCAGACAGTGTGAAGGGAACATTGAAGTAGGTCCCCCAACTCTTGCTGAAGTTGAGAAGGCTATAGTTAATCTGAAACGAGGAAGGGCAGCTGGTCCAGATGGATTGGCTCCAGAGGTCTTTAAGGATGGTGGTCCAATTTTAGCGACTAGGTTGACTAATATTTTAGCTAAGATCTGGGAATTAGACTTTATCCCATCTGACTGGTCGCAATCACTTATCGTCCCAATATATAAGAAAGGGTCAAAATCATCCTGTGACAACCACAGAGGGATTAGTTTAACAAACATAGTATCTAAAATACTGGCCTCGATAATTATCAGACGTCTAACTAAGACTCGTGAACTACAAACTCGAGAGAACCAAGCTGGCTTTAGACCTGGTCGTGGCTGCATCGACCACATATTCACCATTCGTCAGGTTCTAGAACACAGGCATACCTATCGGCGTCCGACGATGGTGGTCTTTCTTGACTTAAAAGCAGCGTTTGACTCTGTAGACCGCGAGACTCTGTGGCAGTGTCTGTCATTGAAAAATGTACCTCAGAAGTACATAAACCTTGTAAAGGCTCTTTACTCGAACACTACTAGTCGAGTCAGGGCTTATGGCGAACTGTCATCTACTTTTGCAACTTCAAGTGGTGTCCGTCAAGGCTGTCCACTTTCTCCATTTTTGTTTAACTTCATCATTGACCTATTGATGGAAATAACACTCTCGTCGACTGAATTCTCGGGTATTGATCTCCTTCCAGGAGGTCCACTTATCGACTTAGAATACGCAGATGACATAGTCCTGTTTGGTGAAGACGCTGACAAAATGCAGAGTCTTCTGGTAGCACTAAGCAACAATGCCAGAATGTTTGGGATGCGCTTCTCTCCCTCTAAATGCAAGTTGTTGCTTCAGGACTGGTCTGCGTCAACACCTGAACTAAGGATAGGGAGTGAAGTAGTCGAACGCGTTGACAACTTCACTTATCTTGGAAGTCTGATCAGCCCTAATGGGTTGGTGTCTGACGAAATCTCAGCACGGATTCGAAAAGCTCGCTTGGCTTTTGCCAACTTACGTCACCTTTGGCGAAGGCGAGATATCCGTCTATCAATAAAAGGACGAGTATACTGCGCGGCAGTCCGTTCTGTCTTACTTTACGGCAGCGAAACATGGCCTTTAAGAGTAGAAGACACCCGTAAGCTACAAGTATTTGACCACAGATGCCTCAGAAATATTGCTGGCGTCTGCTGGGATCACCGGGTAAGTAATAGTGAGGTTAGACGCAGGGTATTAGGTAACGATGGTAAATCAGTTGATGAGGTTGTGAATCTTCATCGACTGAGATGGTTGGGCCACGTATTACGTATGCCTGAACACCGATTACCACGACGTGCAATGCTAACCGGTGTAGGGGATGGTTGGAAAAAAGTTAGGGGTGGCCAAACCAAAACGTGGCATCAGTGCTTGAAGTCACTAACTTCTAGTCTTAGCCATGTTGGTAGATGCAGACTACTTGGTTGGGGTCCGCGTGACTTTCGTAACCAATGGTTGGAGACTCTTGGTGACATGGCTCAGAATCGATCACAATGGCGTCGGTGTATACACTCCCTGTCTTCCCTTAAACTAAGAGATTAAAATCACTTCATATCTTTCTTTCTACGAACTAATTCTTCCTTCCTATACTATATCCTTATTGCAACCTTTGACCTAACCACTCCTATGAATCCGGTGTTCATCTTGTTGTGCTAATGAGGTATGGCAACCTGGACCGATGCACATATGTGCCTGGTCCTACGTTGTAGCTGACTGACTGACTGGGTTCCTATAAACTGCTGTGGCTAGGTCATTATTTGTCTACGTTTAACCACCACCTATATGTATGGGCTATAGTGACTTGCAAATGTCGTTTGGAAAAGAGTAAGGCATCAGTCTGCGGGTTAATTGACTTATAAGTTTATGTTGTATCCAATTGTCCAATATTCCTAGTCAGGATCTAACGAGATAATTTCTAGAATTTTCAGCGACATAGTTTATTCATTTTATAAATTCTGAGTGTAATTTTATTCTACACTCTATATTGTCTGATTTTATCGGTTTATTTTGATATATTTTTTATTTATCCATCAATGCTATTATTTTCATTGCTTTTCCTTTCTGCTTACCATGCTATAATATTAAGTGTAGCAACTATACAGGTACATACTTGTGCAAGAACTTACTCTATTTATTTGTTTATCGACCTTCAGTTTTAGTTTATTGAATTTATCAATTGAATAAGTGATGAAAGTCATAGATTTATAATAAGTGACTCATCTGTTCACCATGAGTTGTGAATAATAAATTGAACAGTTTCCTAGTGTGTTATAATGTGACTTACTGAAAGTCAATCAGTTAGCATTCAATGAATAAACAAGAAATATAAGTTCTGGAACTAATAAGAACTTAATCAAGTCTTGCCGAAACTACCTAATTATTACAATTGTTTAACCTGGCGTCTCTCATGTTATGTTTCGTGATGCTTTTTCAGAATCATCAAACTTATTCTTATTCAAAAAAATAAGTTATTTAACATTTTAATCAATCACCAAGACCGGTGTATCTGCACGAGAAATAAATAAATGCGCTAAAAACTTACTCTAAAATTCAAGGTGACCATTATGATTTATTTTTATGTGAAGGTTGTCATTACTTCCAGGCTGAAGAAAAAAAAAGAAAACTTAACAATCACCAATTACATTGTGATTGAAACAAATAATGTTTATGTTTAAAAGTGTTATGGATCAATTTTGGAAAGTACTTGGTAAACTACCATATATTTAAATCTTATATACGAGTTTATAAACTTCCAATAAATTAACTTTAAGACAACTAAACTGTGTAAGACAATGTATTGTGATTATTTTCTTTTAAAGTTTTTTTACAACCTTATTGTTTTTATCGTGTATGCTTGTCAAATTGTTAATGGTTAATAAAGCCTATCTTTGTAACTCTTAACTCGTTTTGTTTTCATATGTTAGAGTTTAGATGGTGAATAGTCGATCAATTGTAGTAGTAATAAGAGCGACACACAGAAGCTGTGAATGTGACCTATATAGTGATTATGTTGTCCAGTAACAAGGACACTTTTCATCAATATGTTTACCCCTGCTTCTAGTATACTATGTCAAGAAATTTAAATAATCATTTTCTGAAGTGCATTTCTTCGTTCACTTTTTATGCTGTAAAATAACCGTTTGCTAGTATAATAATTTAACCGTCCTATTCGATTAAAGTTTTAACAATGGTCGATTTCTATGTAAAACAGATGAACTGTAGTTAGCAGTGAGATCTAGAATATGCCCCATTTAAGACTTAATTCCTCTGTTTTTGATTCCGTCTTTAACCTGTATTGGTTATTTAGAGACTTTGCGATAGAAATAACATTTAATAAATACCTGCTTGTTTTTTTTCGGTGGTCGTCTACTACCAAAAAATCTAGTGTATTGGCATTAAGTCTTTTGATGAGAAGAGGGTTCTTTGACACTTATACGTTTCTCTTAATAAGTGAGTTAACTGGTATGTTTACCGAATTCACCATCATGAACTGGGTCGATTCTGAAACCTTATCAGGATTTTTTCAGTTCAAAAGTAATAGAGTTCGAAATATTATATATTCCATGATTGTATCTCTTTAAAAAATAACTTTAACTGAACATATCTTATTGAATAAGGGATTTCTAAATAGTATATCGATTCTTAAGAAGTGGAAATCTGCAGCTGACTTAGAGTCACAAAATGGTCAAACGCAAGTTAATCAATGCATTAGAAAGATAACATACTAGAATATTACCAGATGACCGTGGGGAATGCACGAATTTGGAAGCTTACATAATCGTCCATTCATAAATTACTAACATAGAATGAAATACTGTTCAGAAAGGTGTCATAGAAAAAAATCTTAGTTCATGCATTAAACTAGTGGTTGCAGGCAGTGATAGCATGTAATTTATGAAGAGTCTTCAAGTTCAAATTCAATCATATCAGTATGGTCAGAGTTTTCCGAAAAATTTTCAACTTTAAGTTCGGAACCTCCTTTTTTAGTTTCACAAAATTTGACTACAGTATATTACTCCTCATATCATTATAAATTATTTCATGGAACAAATATTCATTCTGATGAGAGAAGAAGAAATAACATTAAGAATTTATTCTTTGATTACCAATCAGACGATAACAAAACAGAATTTCAAACATAATATCAACAATGAAGCTGAAGTCTAACAACTGAAACACCTAATCATTTTCTCTTTACTAATTCTCGTTGTTCTAACCTTTCTTTCCTTTTGTACTTAAGTATTCTCTATTGCATTGTATATATAACAAAAAATTAAATGATTGGACTATCAGGTGTGCATCTCATTGTCAATTCGTTATATTTTCTGCTTAACTGTATTTGTTTTTATTATTATTATTATTTACTTTAGATGATTCGGGACAACCTTCTGTGCTCGATAAAAAATTGTTGGTTAAATTGCGTGATTTTTTTAGAACAAGACCAACTGCTGCATCCCTACGATCTCGCGGTATTTTAAAGAGTAAGTTATTTGTATTCATAATTTGTACATTTTGTATATCCGTACATGAATTCCTTATAAAATTCTAGATTTACTTAAGTACGAATCACTGTTATTTTGTTACAACTTATAACATACTTAATTATATGTACTGAGATAAAGTTGGGGATCTGTAAGTATGGTTATCGGTTTAATTCTAGAAGTTTCTTAACATAGTAGTGTACTTATCGCGGTCTTACGTGACAGTATTCAAAAAGAAAATAACTTCAAACATATCTTTTATGGTTACAGATAACTGCATAATCTCATCACTGATGTAACAAGATTTTCCGATTCACCAATGGCGTTTTCACAATCGTTTTACTTTATCAGTGGAATTCGAGAAATTATGTGTATTTAATCCGTACTGTATCATAGAATTTAAGCCTCGATGGTTGAATCATGGATTCGCACTGTTGAGGAGTACCACGTTAGAACTAAGTAGCTGTTCGGTACTTCCACATTTTATGTAATTGTCTAACTTAAATCAGTTCTTGATCTCACATAACATCCAACCATCTCCACAAAACTCCTACATTAATATTAGAACATACACAAATTTTTTGTAATTGTATCTAACAAATTATTTACCTTGCAATTATCAGGTGGCCAAATCAATAAACGTTTATTACGTACTTGTATATTTATGTTTGCAACCATGACTACAAACCCTACTTTGTTTTTTTGTGGATAGATATCATTTTTTATTAAGTGTTTATCTTTTAATTGGCTTACATTTAACAACCTACTTGAAATCGGCAGTTCTGAAAAATTACTTAGACAGTTTATAGTTATATTTTAATAGTGCTGCATAATCTATGTTATTCAAGGTTACATGTAAACACACCACACTGAGTACATCATATCTTGGAACAATAAATAGTGCTTTCAGAAAAATAAAGTGAGTTCGTAGACTAGAAAAAGCAAAGAAAGGCAGTGACAATATGATTTTTGTTAAAAATAGCTCACATCTATCAAGTTGAGCTTGTTTATTATTTCACAGTAAATCAAGTTAAATTAATTAGGAATTTTGACAGTTGAATTCATGAATCAGTCTAAGCTAGACCAACATTGAAAATCTGAAAGCACTGAGCGGGCGTTTCGTTCCCGCATGGGATTCCTAAGCAGCGCACATCCACGATCCTGCACATGGGACTCGAACCCAAAACCTTTGGTTCCGCGTGCAAACGGTTAACTTTTAGACCACTGGGCCGATACCCAACGGTGGTCTAACTTCACTCGATCCATGATCTTTTGCAACCATTCATCCGTTGTCTTATGTAGATAACTGTCTCCATCTGACACAGATTAAACTCCAATAGAACTGCAGGAAATCTATCGTGAAGCTAGCCACTAGTAAGCACATGATTTATTATCAAAGTGGGGGTTTCTGGAGATTATAGTAGTTTTGGTAGTTGAATTCACTAGTCAATCTAAGCTATAACACCATCCAGGTTTTCAATGGTGGTCTAGCTTAGATTGACTCGTGAATTCAACTATTAAAGTACTACAATCTCCCTAAATCCTCATACTGATAATTAGGGAATGTAAGATATTCGAAAGAAATCTTACGTAATATTTTTTCAAATTTGTAAAATCATATCAATCGTTAATTATTGATGAATCAATCAGAAAGATATTACTGTATACCTGCCGACTAATATACATGCCTATTTTATTGTCAAACTAAGGTGGGTTGTATGAAAAGGTTCTACAGTGTTTACAATGATTCTTCAATTTATATTACTCTGTAGTGTAAATTATTTCTAAACTGTTTTTCTCTTTAATCAATTTATGATGTTAAAGGTTTATCGAACTCATTACGTTGTGTACGTTCGGATAAAATGAGTAGGGATATTTGAAATGAACTATTACTCTTATATTTACTTATCAACCTGTCTCGTCTAACGTTGCCACAAAAAGATTAGCCTCCACTTCTTACTTTAGTGAAAGATCTGAAAGCCATTGTGTTGTACCATCTCTAGGACCCCACCCAGGGAGTCATAATGAACAGACATATGCTAATGTTATACAGCTTCCATGCAACAGCACTATTTCATAAATTGACTGACTCTATACTTATCCCATCCAGCCTTAGTGTCAGCGAATAGCCGACGAAGTGGATACCGCTGGGACCACATTCGTAACACATTTTCACACCACTTAAGCCGGGGTTTCAAGGTGAAGACATTAACTGGAACATCATCATTGTGCCCAAACGCACATTGTTGAACCTCCTTATTACAAACATGGTATTACCACTGGATGTCAATAATCCATCAGAGGTACAGATAATTAAGCACAGAGGTTTTGTACATCTTCAGCTATGAGAGGACGGGTTTCTCAGGTATAGACCAAAACTTCTCTCGCCGATGTGTTGTAAACCTGACCTTGGATTGACGGTAGAATTCATCTTTGGTTATATTGTAGTGGCTTTGCTTCGTTTAGCAATCACCTTTGTAACCGTTATTATATAAATCCTAAGGTGTTTGAAATCAAAAGACAATAAGTAGTGGCAACTACAGTGTATTAGCGGATAGCACATGTCACAAAGCTATCTGCACATCAAGCGGATCTGAAGCAGAGAGGCGAATATGTATGTGAGCCAATACAGAGGTAAATTTATGGTCAAATCTTGTAAGGGCACAACAAGGCAGAGCAAAAGCTAATAATAAGATTTGCGTACATATATACGTGGGGAAGAGAATGATTTATCGAGCAACATTTAAGATATTAACATTTTAGCTAGTCTTTCATGTGATCAGGCATAAACGTTTATGTAGATATGATAGTGATCATAATAGTACAAAGAAATGTGCGAATTGCTACTGCTCGAATAACATTATCAGTTAAGTAAGTTAATAAAAATGCTTTACCGAAATTAACCATATTCAAAATTGGTTGTAGAATAGTTGCTATGATATTGTAACTGCAATCTGTCGACTCATTGACGTAGATTACGACAAAGCATAGTTTCTCATGCTAACTTTTTCTCACTTTAATGGAACATTCTAATTTAACAACATAGAAACGACTGTTAACGCGGATCCAGTCGATTAGTGCCGCTTCTTTGACATAAACTCTAGCAAAACTGGACATCGATACCATAGAGTTCCTATATAGGGGTGTTTGTAAAAAACATTTGTAATGAAATAGTGGACAAGTACTTTGCTCAAGTCTTAAATACTGGTCTCAGATATACGATAAACATCGACTTCAGGCTATCTAACAACAGTTGAACCTATCTGTTGTTCAATCTATGTCACTGTGTGAATGTCATGAAGATCACTTTGGAAGACAAATACAGCTTCAGGAAAGCTGTATCCGGTGGGTGCATCCATAAATCTTCCATTCAGTGACTTGAGACCGTTTAGACTAGATAGAACTCTTATCACAGATGAGGTATTGAATGACCTTAAAAATCTTGGTTGTTTTTTCTTCGAGCTGGATCGTCTAATCCCAATGCTTCTGTTGTCTTTCTTAACAAAATCAGCGCACATGTCAATAAGTCTTTATGAAAACTTGAAAAATAAAGGTTTACTCAAAATGGTAATAAAATAAATGGAAAGATGATAAGTTGTAAAAAAGATTTGCATGGTACTATCTAATTATAAATATCGCTTTCATGAACAGAAAATTGGAGCGATAACATTTTTTTGAGTAGTAATAATCGTCGTGTAGGGTAAATGCTGATATATTGTTTTTGCACCCAAACCGGCTTATCTGGTTTTCTTAGGAGGCTAATGTCCGAGTCTTTCGTCTGGAAGTACAATCCAAAATGCAGGGAAGCAGCATCAGGAGTTTAAGTCCCATTGCAACCGGCGGTTAAAATAAGTTCATCTGCCATTCGTTGCCCCAGTAACCTGGTGCTTATATACACTATTGGTTTATAATCAAGATTTCCAAACTCCCCTTGCTAGATCCTTCGTATTCGCTAACTCCTTTTAAACACTGGCCGTTCAATTTTCGTCTTCCTCACTGACCTACATTAATTGGAGTTAGAATGGGAAATCACTTGTTTGCTGAATTTATTGCATTGCTCCATCGAATGATGAATATCATGCAAAATGTAAATTATTTAACAGTGCACTTTTAAAATAATGTGTCATCTTGACGATAAACACTTTGAACACAATATTTACTAAATTTATGATCTTCATCATCATCATCATAACTAATAATAATAATAATAATAATAATAATAATAATAATAATAATAATAATAATAATAATAATAATAATAAACAGAATAACTTGAATGGAATTTGTACCGGAAAAAAAGTAAAGACACTGTGATTGTTGTAAAGATTCCATAAAGCATTGATCTTTTTTTTCAAAGATATATGTTTATTAGTTTGAATTAATGTATATGCGTTTTTTGGTGAACTTTTCATATACGATTGATAGTAAATAGTTCATACTTACATTTATATCGGAACAAATGTAAATAGAATTGATTATTTGATATATACAATCTGTTGTAAGTAAATAAACACACTAACTGATTGTAAATAGAAATAAGTTGGTCATTGTGAAACTTTGAGAAAATAGCTTTTGCCAATGTGAATGTTTGGTAATTTAGTGAATAATTTACAAGTTGTTCACCTGGTTCTTTATTAGAAACAATTTTTCCGTTAATGAACAATTTTATACCTTTTATGCAATTCAAGTCTGACGGACACAAAGTGATTGTTTTCAAGTATGTGGATTCTTTTTATCATAGAAACTCTATCTTATTCTGCATATCCAATTTCTTAGTCTAACCAATGATGAGTTTTTTGTAAAGCATATATGTATTTTACAGATTATATTGCTAATACAATATATAATTAATCTCATTTTCTCATAAATTCGATGTATTTGATACAACCAAATCCTTTGATAAACTTAACTAAAGCAAGAACAACTAGGTTTGCAAAAACCTATAGACGAAGACAGAAAAGTTTGATTTAAATCTAGACTGGTTGGTATTGCAAATCAGTACTATATTTCCGCAACTGCACATTCAAAACATTCGACGAAGGAACATATACCAGCACTGACGAATTTACAAGTGAATGATAAGATCATTATAGTATGACCAGATAAGTGTCCCTGTGTTGTAATAATTAACCGAAAAGATCATGTGCATAAAATGTTCCAAATTCTCGTGATTCCAAGTCGACAAATCTAGAGGAGATACCATTGCAACAATCGGGAACAGAGTCAATAAACATCTTTAGGAACTTTTGAAGAAGAAACTCATTGATGATTCAACTTACAACAATCTGATGGCAAAATGATCACGACTGCCTTTAGTATATGGTCTCCTTAAGGTACACAAATCCAACATCCCGTTAAGACCTATAATCTTTATGGTTAACTCACCATATCATAAGTTGGCTCGGTGGTTAGCATAATTATTAGAATCGATTCGTATAAAACTGGCGGTCAATAGTTGAAAAGACGCAATTCAGTTTTCCGAAGAAATAGATCAGTTGAATATATCAGATAAATTCATAGTATCCTCTCACATGTGTTCATTTTTTGTGAGTATACCACCAGCAGTAACTTTTAATATAATTTATGAACAATTTGAATTACTTCCTCTGCCTAAAAATGAATTGAGAAAATTATTACTATTTTGCGCAAAAGGGGTTCGTTTCCAATTCAACAATCAACTATACAAACGAACCGATAGGGTGACCATGGGGTCTATCTTCTTGACTAGCGAAACCAAAACACGAAATACAAAATACTACACCAGATTTCTTGACGACAGTATCTGTGATGATATGGACCATGCTTCTCGGTTTCTTAGTTCAACAACTCTCATCCCAACATAACGTTCTCAATGGAATATGAAAGAGATAACCAATTGAATTTTTTAGATCTTAGTGTAAGACAGAAAAGTGATTGAAGTCTTGCAAAAAGTATATATGGGACAGAAACATGGACAGGACAGTATTTGAACTTTAACAGCTTTTGTCCTATCAGTTACAAAAGGTGTCTATTCAAAAGACTCTTCAATAGATCTATGATGTTATGCTCAAATGGCTAAATAAATGAGGAATTGGTTATTCAGGAAAAGTATTGTATAAAAAATAGATACCCGAGGGAATTTATTACTAACTTTGGGAATAAATATCTCAAAGATGATAGACAATCAACTGTCAAGAAGAGACTTGTCTTCATCCGTCTTCCGTTCAAGGGAGATAAGATTTCAGGAAGATTCTATAGGAGAGTCAAGGCGGTGCTGAAAAAGTTTCCTGCTGCTCAATTGGTTTCACAACTCAACATCAAGTGTTCTCTGTACCATTCGAATGTAGATCAATACACTTTCGACATCATATTTAATTGCATTTATGAATCTACATGTACCTGCGGCAGCAATTACGTAGTAAGGACAGAGAGAAGGGCCTTTATCAAGTGAACCCAATCACTTGTTAATTTCATTACCCTCACATAACCTCTTAATTATTACTTCCCGCCGTATAAATACACAACATTTTGTATTCTGTTCTCCCCATTATATTGATCTCGATTACACTTTGAACATTTATCTAAACTTCACAAACTACAATATACTAAAAATTTGTTGATAATTATATTTATATCGGAAGGGTTTTTGTGGAAATTATGGTAATTTCAATGGTTGAGATCATGAGTCAATTGAAGCTAGACCATCACGAAAAACCTGGAAGCACTGGATGACCGCTTCATCCCGTTGTGGGACTCAGCAGTGCGCATCCACGGCCCTGCCTCGCGGGATTCGAACCCAGGACCTCCCCTTCTCGCGCGTAAGCGCTTAACCACTAGACCACGGAGCCGGCATCTGATGGTGTTAATGTATAACTTCAATCAATCCACGACATTTCACAACCACCCTCCATTGTCTTCGATGGGTAACTGCCTTACACCCGACACGGTTTCAAGGGTTTATTATATTAATGAAATTTATATAAATTACCTAAATTTCTAGGTGATATCTTGTTTAATCACATAAACGATAGTATATAATTATTTGTTTTTTTTTGTCTCTTAATAAAACATCCATCAACTTACAAACCTGTACAAAATCAAGTACATTAGAAAGATAGAAGAAACGATCAATGAAACGCCTGCCCGTTGATCTACAAAAATAATCAATAACTTAATCGTATACCCATCTACTGGACACTAAATACAACGTTGATATAATGGGTCTTTTTAAAATTACTAATAAATTTGTACACTTCTTTGATTCACTGTTTTCATAACAACTAAGCCACTAAAATATATTAATAGTAAAATTTCATCTGTTTAATGACACAACTCTCGTTGGGTTTTTTCTCTGTGGTTTTATGTACTTGAATCGTTATTTCACAAACTTAGTATAGTGTTTGTTAAGGCTATAATTGTGTATGAAGAATACTTTAAAATGTTTTATATCAAATATATTACGATGATACTTTTTTAAAAAACAAGATTCATACTATCTGGTCGACGATACACTAAAACAAAAAAAATCATCGTTTAAGTCCGAGAGGATTATTAGTTCCACAATTAACTGGATGTATCATTTTGCACAGATTATTCCTGTTTATTCCACTCTTTTTCTCCTAGTAACAATTTGAATATTATGTAATCAGCTTATCTGTTTATTTGTAACAGTAAATAAGGTATAATATGATAGGTTTATTTGTCTAACAGATATCTAAACGGACATGCATATTTTTTCTCTGTTTTGTATTTTGAATAAAAATTTCATCAACATTAATAAATAATTTTCTTCTAAATATTTTGATTTAATTTTCTCTGTAAATAGATGAATCTGTATTTGCATCTACAATCATGCAAATATGTGAGAATGAAGATTCTGATGTACCTAATTTTATTGTTCGTGCAATTCGTGCTATTGAAGCTCGAGGTATTCTTTTTTTGTTATGTATAACATTATTTTTTATAGTTTTATTCCCTGGTTTGAGTATTGGACCACTTACAGATTGAAATCCAAACAAATTTACAGAGATCTCATTATAACACTGATTTGATCTTTTATGCTGTGATTAATGCTTTTCTCTAATGCTGTCCGTAATAGTATAAATTATCATACATGAGCATTTGGGTTATCCATACCACAAGAGAATATTCCTTCTCAAGGAAATTATGAAATAAACAGGATTCGTATTCAAGATCTTGTCGATCTTAAAACCTATCTTAAACCAGTTTCGCACGGCATCTTTGTGAATAGACTTGGTTGTGTTAGTTGGCTTAGTACTTTTCAAACTATACCACCACTGTTAGAAATCCATAGAATATCGGAGAGTAAACTGTTTTCTGCTCTAAACTACTTGAACATCTTATCAACGTCCATGACAAGACAGCATCGTTAGATTTGCTAGTTATTCGTGGCAAGAAGTTTAATACCAGGAAATAAGTAATCATGCTAATCAACCCCTAAATTCATAGGTTGTTAAATAACGTACAAAATTTAAATCCAGCATTCAATCACATTTCAAATGAATTTAAATCGTATAGGTGTAAAATATAAAACGGTTCATTTTCATTGAGAACTCGTTCGGGATTCTGTTGTCTACTAACTATAAGCTTTTCATTGCAATAATCCGTACTTATAAGTAACCATGACTCGACTACATCGGTCTCACCAAGTCAAATGAGCAGAACTCAGTGGTTTTTTGTTATGGGATACCACAATACATTTGATAAAACTACTTTGTCCCTGTTTGTGTTGTGGGAGCGTGTTTCAAGCAGTACGATTCTCATATTCATAATCACTAACTGATCTGAGCAGGACCACCATTGGGGACTTGAAAACACTGAACCGCCGTTGTATTCTAGTATGGGGCTCCTTATCAGTGCATATCTGCGACCTCGCACATGGGAATCAAACTCAGGACCAACGGTTATTGGCTACATCGACTGATGCTACGGTTAAGTTTGGTCTCCCCTACTTAGCTGTCAACTCACTCCTACAGTATCTCACTTCGATCATCAAGGTAGGCGGCGGTTAGTCGTGCATACTACGTGTTCCAACAACCTCAGATAATTAAGAATCACAAGCTCATCAACCTATTTCTCATCCTTGCTTAGTATTCTACGTTCAAACTCACCTAGTTGTTCCACAATACGCGAATAAATTTTGAAATACGCTTATAACCAAAACCCACTAGACTACAGATGTCTTCTATTTTCATAAACTATGATCCATAGTCATCGAGTAGGACAAAGCAGATTGCTTCTTTCTATACAGTTTTGTTGGTTGGCAGATGTACATCTCACGTACATCACAAATGAATCTGATTGGGAGAAGCCAAAGGAGATTTTTAAGTTCATGGTGAGATTCGTTCAGACACCAAACTACCAAGTTTATCGAGACTCAGATCATTCAAGAGATTTCACTTTACGTCTTCGTATACACTGAATAGGACTTCATTATTTATGTGCTCCAAGTCGATAACTGAACCTCATATCCCGACCAAGACTGATCAAATTTTAATTAAGAGCATCAACACCACTGGATGGCTATCGGGACTTAGTAGATCATTGGATAACGCGATGGCATTTGAGGCGGACGGGTTTGAGTTCCGGGATGTAAATCAACTATAAGACGCAGGTACATCCAGCTGATGAATCCCAAATAGAACGAAACACGAGTCCTAGACTTAAGTGCTAACCACACTCCATCTATTTCATATTGAACGTAATTGCTTTTTAAATGTTAATCCATGAATATTCAAATTTAACAATTTTTTATTTTACTTTTCCTATTAAATTTCAGGACTTGATCATGTTGGGATTTATCGATCAAGCGGAAATGGTGCTACAATCCAAAAACTTCGCTGTGCCGTTAATCAATGTAGGTGAACTGAAGTATACTGTTTATTTACTGTAAATTAATACCTCTTAACATTACTGCTTGAAATTGTTTTTAATATTCAAATTGTCTATAAAACCAATAATTGTTTGTTTTTCTGCTACAAAAAGGTGTCACGGTGTGACTACTTTACGGACGACCTTTGAACGACGCTAAAGTGACCTTGAGAATGTCCACCTACTTACTAGGGCTAAACGAGGGTTATAAAGCAGTTTGAAGAATAAGGTTTATAATTTACACTTGACGGTGTGAGTTAGGAATTAGATTTATGATTTTCATCACGAACTGACATCAGCTAGATTACCAAAACGTTATTTAGACAAATATATGAATGAATTTCGCGCCAAAATCCAAGACCTGTTATCCTAAATCTGATTGATTCGTCCATAAATTATAGTTTCGCCACTGCCTATTTACTTACCTCAATTTAAGGACTTATATAGTTTAATGAACGCTCTTTTTCTCTGTCTTATACGTTAAAGCTTAAGATCGATCGTATAAATACATACTTGATCATTGGTTAGTATACTATTTTTGATTTGATTATTGTGTGAATATCTGTGGGTTTACATATAATCTAACGTTCTGAATCTCATTATTTTTCATGTGATTTCAATGATAGAATTAATTTCAGCATAACATCGAATGATCACCTGATAACTAAAGTTCAATTTGGATTGATTTAGACAAAACCTAAAAAGAATCAACCAGAATAACTGTCAATTATGTATTGAATTGTTATTGTTCATTTAGGTATAGAATTAGGTATGAATTAATAAACATATTACTACTATATTATCAATATTACATATGTGGGTGGCATTTTTTTGCTTTAGAAATATCATATACTGATATTTAGTGTTTAATATTCTTTTTTTTGTTTATAGTATGCATGGTCAATTGTGACTCTCATTTTTGATAGTAAATAGTTACAGTTACATAATTGGCAAACATTATATAAGTCAATCGACTTTTTATATAACAAGTCCTGTTGCCATGTTCTTTTGTTTAGAAATTCCAAGTATATAGTTTATTACACTACTATTTTACTACAGACATCTGAATTGTGTAACATTTGTTAATAGTCTGTTTCCGTTGTTGTAATAATTTAGGGAACAAAAGCATTGGTAATTAGTTAACCGTTGGTTATCAGCCTTCAGTTAAAATATAGTAAGCTTGCGGTATTTTGACTCTTAAATGATGTCACTTTCATGCCACTTACATAGGTTCTGTTAAACTTTCTCTTATTACGACCCAGCTACTCTTATTGTTTAGTATCCTAGGTCACTACTTCACTCGACAAGTCCCACTTTCGATTAATGATATTTGATTTTAGACCCTTTGGAATACTTTAAAAAAGACTAGGGTTTATGCTGGTTGACAGTTGTGTCCGGAAAGCTTAAAGGCACTTATATTTACTCGAAGGCGATTTCAATACAGATCACATCGAGGACATTACTACTAAGTTATTCGGTTTTGATAGATATGTCCACATTAATCGACCACTTTATAATGATCACTATCATATCTTTTTTCAGTACTGATTACATTCTCTTTACCAATTTATATGGCCAATGGTTTAAGTGGTAATTTAAACCAATCGGGAATGACTTGTGGAATTACTTAAACCTAACAATAATCCCTAAAATTTGTTACTAATTCCAAACTTTTCATCAGTGATGAATACAAATGTATATACTTTTTCATTTCTTTTTTGATTATTTTGATTGTATTTTGATGTTGTTACATAGAAAGAATTACGGTTAAAATGCACTTTTGTTGTATATTTTCATTTCAATTACATCATTTGGTTAAAGTGGCAACGGTCATCATCATATCAAGACAAAAAGTAGTGATAATGTGTTATTATTATTGTTAGTACTTTTTACTTGTATCGTCATTCATGTACGTTCAATGACTTCAGCTAATGTACAGTATATTAAATCAATAAGTTGTTAATATTTACGGGTCGTCCCCTCAAAATCTGTCGTTAGACAAAATTGTGCAGACGTCTTCCATTGCAAATGTTACATTATATAGTAATAAGCATTCTGTTAAGAGAAGACTGTTCCTTTTGTTCTGTTGTTTTAATACATACATTGAGTTGATCAATCAAAACTGTGTTTTAACTTAAACATAATGAAATTGACAATCAGCAGTTATTATGGTTGTTCACACACATTTTGTGTTAGATTCATAGAAAGTCAATTTATGTATATTTCGTTTGTATTAGTCATATTGTGTAATAGTATTACTAAGTTAGCTTAATTGATTGATAATTAGTAAGATTGGCAAATTGATCCTTTGCCCATGAGACTGTTCTTCAAATCTTAATCAGATGACTTTGTGTAGGCAGTACTACTAATTATAATACTATTATTACTAAAGTGAACGTTCACTTGATGGAGACAACTAATTTATTGTTCAATACAAATTACAGAATATCTCCGTAAAATATGAAAACCATACATTAAATACTTGATTTGCACATCATCCATCAGTTGTCTCTTACAAACTTCATCGTTACTTCATCCTTGTTGTTATTACAATTACTCTCTGTTTACATTCCTATTCTCTTCAATTCGACCTTCTTAACCACCTATTGCCAATCATTCCACTTCTGATCGGTGTTCACATAAACCACACTACTATCGACTGATTGCATATTCAGTAATGAAAACCACAAATTGCTCAATCAAAATAGCAGGACTATGGCTCATTCGTCAGCTTTGACTTAATAAGTTGTGATAATTCAAAATATAACGTATAAGATCATCTTTATGTTTTTATTCGATAAGATGGTGGTTGGAGGTTGTTAACAAGAAACTCTGGACCGAAATCTCGTGCTAGTTGGCACTCGTCAGCAAGGTGTACCTGTAATCTTGTATTATTTAAATGCCTAATTTCGTATATTTAAGCTTTAACTTAAGTTGTAGATGGTACTCGTCAGGCATTGACCTCAGTTTAAGTATCACTGCTTAGAATGGATCAAACACCTAGTTTTTCGTTATTACAAGTTATTTTTTAATGGATAACCTCGATGACATTTTCCTGACTCGAATCTTCTCAATAAACTTTCATTTCGTATTGTTTGTTTGAATCTCCCCGTCTATGCCTAGTAAACCCAGCTGACGAGTCCCGAATAGGACGAAACTCGCATCCTTGATTTCACTGCTATCTATCATTCATCTTTGCTTTCACATCACCTGATTGGTTGCCGTTACTTTAAGTATACTGATTTTTTGTTTATTATGGTTACCATGTATACTGAGTCGTACCATTTTAGGTTCTGCTTAAATATCGAGTTTTCCCTACATTTCATCTTCAGTCTGTATTAACGGCTGGTTACTGAAGAGTTGTGCGCAGTTGCTGCTATCGAGTCTACAGTAAAAATGCTCTTATTAGAATAACTTAATCGTTCCTTAATTCGTAAACCTTAATACACCCTCTTTTTATCAGCATTTAACATACTGAAAATCAGGGGTCACTGGACAATTGTCTTATTCTATTATCATACTCCTTAGCAGTGTATATTTATAATCTGCATAAGAATAGAATCTAAAACCTTCGGACTTCGCGGCATGCGATTAAACATTAAAGCTGCATCAAACGTCAAACAATTTTTTGTTCAAAATCCATTTAGTTTTACTTATCTTTTGTTTATGAATTTGAATCAGAAGTATTGTAATTGATAGAGAATCGCAGTTACTACAACAATTTTTCATTGGTCTATAGGGCTCACTTCTAAACATTGTGTAGATTATTTTAGCCTTCAAAGCAATTCAGTCTTTATAAAACTTTTAAACCTAGTGAAGATAACTTTTCCATCATATGTTTGAACACTGAACCAGAGTTTACATCATGCAGTAGGACTTACAACAACTTTACTTCGACAACACCATACAAAATTTTTTTGAAATATTAAATATTTTCTAAATAACATGGTACTTAAATTGTGTGTCAAATTATGCTATACAAGTATATGTCACTAGTCAAAGTTATTGTTAGTTTATATTATTCGGACACTTGTCATTATTGTTTCTAATTTAAAGGTAAATTTCTTTGAGAATAAAATGGAGTAGTGGTTCAGTCGTCAATGTGTTCGACTTTAAGCCAATAAGTCTGAGGTTAGAACACTGCCGCGCCTTCTTTAGTCCAGGCGACCGAGTAAAATTACTAACCCCTACACTTAGAGTGTGGCTCTAAACCGAGTAGTTAGTAAATGAGATAATAATCATAATGTTGAGAAAACAAAGTGACAGAACAAATTAAACAAGTTTTTATAGTCTATGGGTGAAGGTGGGGTTTTAAGCCTCAGGCTGGAAATAGTTTTTAAACCTTTGAATACTATTTGAACCAAAGTTTCTCTCTTCTCTAGAGGTTTTTAATAAGTAATTTATTATGCTATACAATGGTTAGCAGGTGGTCTGTTTATCGTAGTGTAGTTACATGTTTATACTAGCTAAGTTACACAAGCTGTAGGTAAAATTTATCAATCAAATTATCCAATGTTTCCATCTATACTATCTACTTTAAGTTCATTCTACATACTCGTGTATTGTCGATGAATATCATGTTTTGTTCTATTATTTAATAAACTACACTTTATGATTGTTTACTTTTAAATTTTTATGCATATATGTAATGTACGTGTTATTATATTATCTAATATTCTTATGTATAATTAACACATTTTTTTAAGGTTTAATGAAAAGCCATGACCTAGGAAGTCAACGGAATTGGAAATAAAGACAATTTCACTAATCAATAATGTCTAGATAAAAATCGTGTTATGTCCCCTTAGATTTAAACAAAAGTATGAAAATATAGAATGTTGGGCTTTATGAACACATTAGCTTAATGGTTATTCTTGGCATCTGATATAAACGGGAGTATAAAAATAGTTTCTATTTTTACTGTATACTACTATAATAAGGCGATACAATCGCTTGTGGAGATCATATTATCATTAGACTGGATACTTACTTACGTCAGTTATCCGTCGTGGAGGAAAAAATTTATTTATTTATTTGAACACATGAATACTGATACAAGGGGGAACCAGATACATATGCGTGACACAAGTCTCATTTGATTTGTGTGAGGGCTGTGATACTGCCCGGATGCCCAAACCGAAGCAAGTGGTTTTCTTAGGGGGCCACACCTGGAGCCTTCAACCTAAAGGTCTGATCCACAAGGCAGTGGAGATCGTAAGGACATGCAGTCCCATGGACGCCGGTGACCAACGATTGGTTCATACGCCATTCGTTCCCTCAGGGTACTGGAGCCCATGTGCACCATTGGTTTGGAATCGAGATTTTCCAACTCCCTTAGGAACAAAGGCTTCCTGCCAAGATTCTTCATCAAACTTTGTCGTCGGTAATCCTTTCCACTTGCTATTTATCCTTTGAATATAGAGGCGATAATTTTCTCAATACAATTACAATCAGTTTACACTCAATGAGTTCAGAGTAGGAAGCAATGAAAAAGTACATAACATATCTAATGTTTAATAAGCTGAACGTTTCTGTTCACGCTCAATGGTCAATTACATATTACTTTCATTACTAGACATCAGCATTATTATTCACTTTAAATAATTAAGTTCAATCATTTAGATGAGTGTGAATATGAACTGATATAAAGTATTAGATACTTTTTCAATAATCCTCCAGTTAATAAGATTAATTTTAAATATTTCTAATTTAACTATCCTCTTTATATTTCATATATCATTAATACTATTTTAATGATCAATTGAAATACTTGATTTGTTTCTTGATTCTATTTATTATTTTTATTATCATAGATAACTACAGTTTAAATTCTGAAAAATGGAGTTTAGAAGTATTAACAGGGGCATTAAAATTATTTTTTCGTGAACTTAAAGAACCACTTATAACATTCAAAATATATCCAGAAGTTGATCAACTATTGGGTAAATAAATTATTTAATAAATATTAATAATACAGTAAATAATGTTTGCTAATTTTTTGTAACAGAGAAAAAAAATTTTCTCATTATCCTTTTTCATCGTTATTGAAATAACTTGAAATCTGTGTTGTATAGTTTGAAATGATTTACTTTGTTTTAATGGTTTTATTGTACTGCGTTTGTGTAATTTTGTTGTATTTTTAAAAAAAAAGATCAGTTCCTTGATTTGTATTAGCGTCTGTGTGATCGGACCGTCTATAATAGGAGAAGGAGTATTATCTAGTTTGAATATTGACTTCTTTACGTATATGGCCTATGGAACTGATGACCTTTTTTCATAACAATGAACAACTTCTTAAGCCTTAATGCTGATTGGTCCTTGAACTCTGCAATTCAGTTTACAATCAGAAGATAAGGACAACAAACAGATTAATTCTCATTTTTACTTTATTCATTTATGACTCAAAATTCATAGAATACTTTACCTCGAATACCTACTCGCGTAGTACAATAATAAGAGATTACAATGTATACACAAGTCAACCATAAGTGGTACAAAATTGAGCAGTAAAAAAATTAATAATTAATGGAAAATCTGAAACAGTAAGACGTAAAAAAAATAGTTTGTGTGTCGAGAGAAAATGTACAAATATGAGATAATAATACAATACTCCAAACGTTTAATAGTTCTGCAATAGAAATACTAACAATAATTTCCAGTAGAATGTTTCTGGAATAAAAACTACGCTCAAATCCTTTTCGGAATAACCAGTTTGGACGTGATTCTCATCTTAAATAGACACAAGTTCTAGTGCATTAGGTTTCCAGATGAAATGTCATGTGCCAGTTAAACTTTGTTCTTCTTAGGTTTGCCGAAGCCATAGTCACAAATGTCTCAAGTTAGGTTTGTGTATTCAAAGGGAAACAGTGGCGTGTCTTTCCTTGTCATCGTGATGTTATCATCAATATAATACATCATTCTCACAACTCTCCCTTATTTTTACTGCATCTTTAATTTCAAATTCATGACTTTATTTTCAACTGACTAGTCTCGACTCAACTCATGTTATTCTTAATTACTGCTAATTTGTCTTCATAGCATAATCAGTTAATTGTTTTAGCTCTGTAACCTCTGTAAATCCATTATCTTCTTTCAAATATTATGTTTATTTACAACACACTACATCTTCAATATTATTACACTTTTTCGAATCTCCTCTCCACGGTAATGCTACATATCTACATCTAACCAATATCACTGTGTTCAGTATGTTAACTTTGTGACAATTTTTGAAAGCAATTAGAGGAACGTTGCTACTGATCATATTATTTTATCCAGCTACTGAAACGACTATGAATAGGTTATTTAATTGCTAATGAGTGGTGAATTTACTTAGCTTTCTGTAATTACATGCTAATTCCTTCCTTAATGGATAATTTCGGCGACATTTTTCCAATTCATATTCCCGCTATGAACTTTGGTGTTAACTGATTGTTTGTTATCGCTCTTAGTTTGCTAGCTTCGTTATGTTCCCCGAGGTCATTGTATATTACTTTCCAGGCATAGTTGTTCCTTGTCAATTGTCAACTTCTGTTCGGAATACAAAGCTATCCTGAAAGTCTCATTTTCTCTATCTCATGTTAGCTTGCGGTTATTAAAGATGACCTATTGTTTTCGACGTTCAGTATGTCGAAATTCATATTCGTTCTTGTTCGTCTTAGAAGACTCGTAGTTGTTCATAAAATAGGATTTACTGTTGGCCGTCTGGAAACCTCCAATTCATAATCGCTTTTATGGATATATATACTGTTTACTTTGTTATTAGTTTATATCACTGTATAATACAACATTTTGTATAATCTATAATTATGGATCGTTCTTGAATTGAATTTCCTTTTACTCAATCTATAGGTGATAATGATATAGCGCCAGATTTAAAAGTGATTAGAATGCGAGAATTGATCAATTCTATGCCTGTCCCACATATCAACACATCTCGAATATTTTTTCATCATTTGTACAGGTAAGATGGTGAAATAAGTTAAGTTTTACTACGAAAAAATTACGTTTTTTCAAAGGAATTCTCAATATAGTACAAACGTGAAAATCCATTATGATTTAGGATTATATATTATATATATACCAACATAGCTTATCTACTTTCTTCAAGCTTTTCCCAAATTCTTGTCTTTTCTCTCTCACTCCTCAATCACATGATATTTCCATTGTTCAAATGTTGAGCGGACTAGTCGCCCAGATCCCTACCGTATTAGGAGACATCTTCCGAACCTTCTTAATTCGATATAGTCTCTCAAAACAGAAGTGTAAACAATCGACATAGACCAAGGTCTTTTTGTAGTTGCCACTATATCAGCAAGAGCCTATCTGCAAACTTAAGAGAACTAGTGCAACAATAGGATACTGACCCATGACACGCATCATCAGATATAGTTAGCATCCAGCTATGCAAACCGCCATTGATATCCCATACGCATGTGACCGACCACTTGTAATGTTATGTATTGCTGTTGTGTGTTGTTGCGTTCTTAAAGCAAGGAAAAACGAATGCACTACCGCATCCGCGAATAATTTCGAACCATATGAAATAACAGTATTCATCTAGAGGTTCGATTTACAATTAATAACTTCTTGTACATTGCTTGGACATAGAACTCTATGTAGGTTTTAATTCATCCTCATGAAACCACTCAGTCAAAAATTGTTTGTGCCACTACCGAATGAAATTCACTCCAAATGTTTCTTTGTTGTCGTCACGTTATTTCCTTAAAATCAAGGATATCAAGATTTCCAGATGATTCAAACATTCACAAATTGAATTATAAACATATAACTTCAGGTGAATTAAGTCAACAGGAATAAGTGTTTTATGCATTTTTCAAAACAATACACATTCTAAAAAGGATTTTAAAGATTCCAGCTGGTGAAAGTTAAAGTATCAACTTCAAAAGTTGTTACATGGTATTTGGAGATCAAGAACACTATTTCAGACTGACCAGTTATATCTCATCCATATGAAGTGAGAGTTGAAGAGTTCTTAGAGATGAGTGAAGTCAAAGAGAAAATCGATAAGTTTGAGTACATTATTGGTGACTTGGAGATTATTCCATTGTATTTTAATCGAAGCTCTTTAACTACTCATACTAGAATAGTGTCTTATCGATATACTGACAGAGGAAATAAGGTAACATTGATTTATTTAGTTCTTGGTCATAACGCGTATAAACATAGGATCCTTTATTTACATTAAAAGTTGAGGGTTGTTTAAATAAGCTTGCACATAACTTTCTTAAAATCTGTTTTCAATAAACTTCATTTCTTTGTATTGTACTTTTCCATTTGTTAGGGTAATGCAATTGTCCAGTATCAACCAAATGCATTCTTACAATTTGGCTATTGTTTTCGGACCTAGTTTAATTTGGCCAGAAGTAGAGTCTGTCGCATATAGAGCACTTAAGTCTGTACAGGTCCCATGTATAGAATATTTGCTTACACATGTAGAGGAAATATTCGGACCAGTAACCCCACCGCCAGTTATTTCATAAGTCCATACATGGAAATAAATACTGTTTCTAATATTTTATATGAATAATAGGTTAAGTCCAACCATTTTTTAAATACAAACACAACGCATTGCTCAAAATCTACTTGTTTGTCTCCGATCCAATTATCATTATCAGCTTTAGAGTTATCATCAAATATTTTTGATCTCTTATAATGTTTTTCAAGTCCATATTGTCACAACACATGTATAGTGTGTAATCTTTTGCCTTTTTTTAAAAAAAACACGCACCGAGTAGTAATTTTGCAATCCTATATATTGTAACTTTCCTTAAATTTATTTGCTTTCTAGTAAGCACTTTTGTTTGCAATAAACATCACTTTATACTTGCTAAAATAATTGCAAAAATGTGATACAAAATAACACTCAGCACTGTAAATTTCTCTTGTTTTCTACTACATTGTTAGGGTTTGAATGATTTCAACGAATATCTTCTGTCCATAGTTTTCGTTTTGTTTAAATTGATTCATTTGTTTTACTAGTCATTTTAACAATTTTTATAGTGTTCTTGTTATAGTTGGTGAGGCAGGATTTCAGATTGAAATCAATAGGTAAAATGTTAAACGATAGGTGAACAGAACGATATGATGTGGTTAAGTGATGGCCACTCATAAGACTGTATTATTGACTTAATTCCATGAAAAGTTAGAAATCAGAAACAAGACCATTAAGCAGATGTAGTGAAACATGTTCATATACAGCAAATGAGCACAAGGTAAACATGATGAAATGTCAGGCGATCTGGAAAAAAATAGTTTGGTTAGGTCACCTTTTCTTCAAGTAGTTGAAAGTTTGGCCTCATTCCTGGGCTTTGCATCAGACCTTATTCAAAGTAATTTCCGTTTTTCTCTTACGTCAATTGTGCTAGTTACCGATAGAACACAGTGCTTGCGTATTTCAGAAATATTAAACTATTAGTTAGGCGTAAGTTGTAAATTCGCGCACCATATCACCTATTTCGGTTTGACCAAACGGGTGTGGCCCGAATCCGAATAGTTTAACCTTATATTTGGCGAATGAATTACATTTACAAACACTAAATAATCTAAATACTGTTTAGAAAAGAATTCACTTTGAAAGAACTAGATCGATTTTAAACTATCAACTACCTGCTCTTTCAAGAATATCAGGATGGCATAATCATATTGTTGTTTCTGCATGGATTTTACTGATTATTAGGGTGTTCGGCTGGAAAAATCATGGACTGTAATAAAATAAAATTCCAAATGGCTACCGGTTTTTCCGTTTCCACTGACATACGTTGACGTCCAACTCATCGTACCTAAGCATCACTTTGTTATCTCTTTATTGACCGATTAATTAGTTTCCAAGTTATTTAGAACTTCATAACTTATATTTATAGACAAAAAAGATCTTTTTAAAACCTATAGCAGTATAATGCACTGATTCAGGTTACAAAGCTTGATAAGATAGAGAAAAATGTTAACAGGGTAATTAAACACAACCATAAGATGACTAGTATTTACGATAATAGTCTACGCTCACATCATGTAAATTGATGCAATATTAGGTTGTCAAACTACTGAGTTTCGTAACGATGACCACAGATTACGCAATACTCTATGCAGGTCGGTATCACACGTAGTTGTCCAAACTTGTCAGTTTGACTATTTTCAGGTTTCTACCGTTGTAGATCTGCTCCATATAAATTGTGATATACATCTCAAGATGCGAAATATCTCCTGATCACCTTAGTCAGTGCAGATTAACACCATAATTCCCGACGTTTCTCGTTAGCATTGTGTACTTCATGGTCCCGTCAACAATACTGATAGTCAAATGCATATAACTACATGTTCTTTATCTTCAGCTGTTTAATTTCAGTCGTAAAACAGAACAGTTCTGGATTTTAAACATCACACAGCCCGATACACATCTTAACATTCTCACTACAATGAATGTTGTAGGTCATCTGGGTTAACAGACCTCTTTCTCTACAATTGGTGAGGAAATAAGTCAACTGTTTCTAAAACACGAGTTTGCTCGTACTAATCATACCGCATTTTATAGGTTTTATGCACGTCTAATAATTTAGATCTTTGATTAGGGTTCGGAAAATGTAGCTTGATGTAATTAGATCATATTGTCACTAATAGGTTGATTCACGTGGTAATAAATTCAGCTACTGTTTTTGTGTTATCAACTGAAATATTCAATGGGAGGAATTAAAAGTAAGCTAAAGTACAATTATCATATAATTTACATAAATGCACAAGGTATAGATTATTCATTACAAGTCTTCATTCAGGGAACATTGCGCTCTTAGGTACTACAACCGTTTGAGCGCTTTACGAAATGATGAGTTATTGCGTTGTGTCACTTTAGAATGTGTACGCGCATCAGTCGAATTGCCTGACCTGAAATGAGATAACAGCGAAATACTGAGACTTTGAGAACAATGCGGAGTTTATCACGTAATTTTATGTTGTTCTGTGAAAATAGTTACTAGATCATGGTTACAAACGTTAAAAAAACCGTTACTACTGAAGGTCTTTATGAGCTAATGTATTTTAATTGGATAAAAATCTCTCAATTTAGGAAAAGACATAACCCACAACTAACACTCCGATTACGTTACTCAATATTATTTATATTAACACGTTTTACATCAGTTACATTTATTTACTGTGCAAAAAGTCTGAGTTGGAATTAGTTCGCAAACTTCCAACAATAGTATCAACGACTGAAAAAATAACCCTGAAAAGTAACTTACATAACCATAACTAGAGCTAATAAATAATTAAAAGAGGATAAAGCATTCAAACGGGACACATGTACCATGACCAGATTTCATGGAAGAAAGCATTTGTGAAAGCTCAAAGAAAACCTAAACACGAAGCGCTATACTGGGCAGCCCATGGAATTTCATTTATATGATTACTAATACATATCGCGACCAAAATAATGAAAGTAATCTTTTCTAACTTTTCTGGTCTTTGACTTGAGGTAACTAACTGTCATCAACCCTACGCCTAAATCTGCAACAAGGAATAAAGTTTCACAAGAGATTCAAATAAATATCTAACGCATCTACCATCGGAATCCTATACAGACAAAACCCTCCGTTTTCGTTCGATATGACAGACTTTGGTTACACAATATATTACTGAAAGGAGATAAACGGAATTTGTAACATGGTTTGTACAAAACTGTCACGAAAATCGAGAGGAACACAACTAAAACTTAGGAGATAAAATTAGCTGGTGGATCTTAAACAACTCGGGAGAATACAATAAGCGAGACTAAAAAATACTGATTATGTCTTCTGACTAGATTTTCTGCGGCCTTGTAAATATTGAATTGTAAGCTTAGATTACGTATTAACATCAAGTTTATACACGTGCTGAGTCAACTTACATATCGACACTTGCATGGTCGTCTTGATGCAACTTCTGACTACTGACTTTCGCTTGTTCCCGAACGTGCCAGTAAGCATGTACTTCTGTGAGGAGCCGAGCTTCTGCCACAAATTCACTGTAATCTTCTAATAGCAATTTTCCAGCTTCCTCATTAAGAGCTGACTCTGGATTGGGTTCTATCAACAAACACCTTATAGTCTAAAGAGTAAGTTCCAACTCATTAACTCACTAGAAGGATATGTCGTAGTCCTAAATTAGATTTCCAATCCTTCTTCAGTGTGTTTACGCAAACCTCTCCGGTGTTTGGTGCTATGTTTGGGTGGAATATCTTCGTGCAAAAGTAAGCCTTCGGCGCTTCCATCGGATACTGCATAGGGATCAACATCTTCAGACGGAATTTGCCACCATCATAAGGGGTACCAACAGGACCGTCAAGTACAACCTGACAAATTAAAAAGACAGATATACAACTAACTTGAACTTCCGTCATATCTTGCTCATTAAGCATCAACTGGATACCTTCGACTGGTTCAGCTGTAAAATCACGCCACTCTTTGTACAAACGACGAGCGAACTCAGGAACCGCATTCTCCATCTACACCTGTTTTCGGCTGACCTTCAACCTCACACGCGCGCTTTTAGAAATTGATGGCAGGACGAAGACAACCATTCTTTTCCAATGTTCAATAAAATGTGATATCGAACATATTCGCGCAGGTTTATATGTTTCTAGTACCTGTGACACGTGAAACGGTATAATTTAAGCCTCGAAAATCACCTTACTTATCTAAAGCTATATACACATATCTGAATACAGTTTCAGTTTGGGAAGGAGGCTCGATGGCCTATGTTAGTCCTGGCAATGGTGGTCTCTCAGTTGATCCAACTTTCTTTTGAAAGAGTCGACGGATGGAGCCTCAACCACGTGCTGAGGTACTGAATTCCACTCGTTGATTATTCGATGGGAAAGTCGATAGTCAGCTGACAAGTAATTTGTTCTCGGCTTATGAACTTTTTTGGAGTGTCCTCGTAAATTCTCTGTTTTGAAAGACAAGAAAAATGAGGGCATATCAGGTTCAAATTTATCACTAAGCAATTTGTAGACTGTAGGTAATACATCTCAACGTGCTGCATGAAATAAACAATCGAAATGAAAGTACCCAAGCAACAAAAAAGGGGAAATAAAGGCGAACAAAGGGGAAAAAGGGGTAAATGCTTTGGTAGGGAAAAAGGGAAATGAGGGGGAAAACGCATCAGAATGTCGCCTTTTTCGCCTGTCCGGGGGAAATAATGCGGATTTTCCCCTTTTTCGCCGTTTTGTCGACAAATTACCGACTTATCGTCTAAATATCCGCCGAATCGTCGCGTTTTCGCCTAATAACCGCTGAATTTGCGAATTTTCACTTAAACATCCGCCGAATTGTCGCATTTTCGCCTAAATAAACGCTATGTTGTCGCATTTTTGCCGAAATATCCGCTGAATTGTCACATTTTTGCCTAAATATCCGTTGAATTTTCGCATTTTCGACCAAATATCCGCCAAATTGTCTACTTTTCGCCTAAATTTCCGTGGAATTGTCTACTTCTCGCCCAAATACACACATAACTCCTATGTTCGTTTTTAATTTCAAAAACAGGCCAAAAATATATCTGCAATGCAGTGGAAAAGCGGTACATTTTTGAAAATTTGTATTTGAAAGGAAAGCGTATTATTGCACAACACTAGAGCCGAAGCTTAAGCATCGACTGTTTTGCATATCCAATGCAATTGTTAATTCATTGTTAATTGAAATTATCTGCAAAAAAAGGAACAGGTGATGTTTTGTTTATAAGGAATGTGCATTTAGCCAAAAGTTAACTGACACTCAAACACACATTCTCAACATTTCAACAGTTTCCCATGTAAGTAAAAGAGTAAGCTGTTCGAAAAAAATGTTTATTGAAATGTAGGTAGAACATCAAAACAATTGCACGGCTATTGAGAATTGAGGTAGTCGTTCCGTGAATTCTGAATTAAAAAAAGAAGAAAGTCACAACCATATCTCAATGACATGCTTTGGTACAGCCAAATACTTGAAGCTGAACTTACGGTTATGTTCGTTAGTATTGTTGACTGTAACTACAGAGCCGTAGGGAGGTTATCACTTTAAATTAGTACATACCTGGTCTTGTTTTCTTCTATTACGCTTTATCATCTTGTCTCGGATATCGTGAACGTAACCTCGTGCCTCGATGTCATAGAGCTTACCAAGGTTCGTGAATATCGAAATAGTAATTAAACGTACTTGGCGATTGGCGATATCAATTTGTCGAAAACACGGAATTCGGGATATTGTACGCGGCTATTCCCAGCCTGCATCTCAGCCACACCCATGTCGACTGAATTTTAAAGAAAATCTTCTTTACGCTTCATTACACCTCTAGGAAATGTAAGTAAGTTTATTGTACAGATCTTTTTGGCTTCTCAGTGTTAAATGGCAAAGCATTTCCATTATAGAATGTCCTTGATGGTGAATTGATTGAGTCTGACGACGGAAGGTGTCGTCTGTTCTTAAAGTATATACTCCATTTGGAAAGGTCGTTTTTCCCTCCAGCCGTCTCCCAACTACAATACACCTATCGCAACCTGCCTTACCGTTGTGGTTTACCGTGTACCTAACAGAAGAACGAGCATGTGCATCACATATAACAGCCGCCAACCTAATAGCTATACATTTATTAAACTTAAGACTAAAAAGACCCACGTCAGTCATTTCTTTTATTTCAGAAATTGTGTCCGCAGAAAATTCGTTGAATTCTGCCGGCTTACTATTCCCTCCGTAGATCCCTATCAGGAACACGTCACTAAACCTAGGGGCAATGATCCGTGCTAGTATAGGCCATAACTGTTGATTGTAGCTTTTAGACATAGAAAGTCCATCTATGTTGAGATATAAATGTAAAGAGTCAAAATCAATAGTACGCAACCAAAGCTCAACGTATCTTAGCAGATTGGTTTTCAATCCTAGAAGGTAGTAAACCCCACTGCCGATAAACTTTGGTTGAACACTTGGACACGTCTTCAGGACACCTCTTATGCTTTTCGGTATGTCCGGGATAAGAAATCGTAAACCAAAAAAAAACCGATCAGCATCTCTTATGCTGAGAGATGTATTTGACATTAGATACATCATAAAGTCGTTCATCAGTTCTTTGCGATTTACGAACTTATGAGAGCAAAAGTCCACTTCAGGAGATCCTATAAGATATATATTCACGTGTGAATTTAAAACACGTACCACTACTATCTGGAAGCCTTTGGTTGATGTAGCTAGTGCATGGTGTTACAGTTGAAGTACTGTCATAATATATGAAATCTGCTTATGTTCGTGTTTATCATTATTACCGTTAATAATATCATTATTAGTTCCCCGACACATTAGATATTCTTTTTGTATCTTCTTATCCTTCCAAACATATTTAACTCCAGATTGTCCTTTAAAATCAATTGTGACTTTCATAGCATCAACCTTAATTATTATTGCACAAATATTTATACTAATATCCAGTTTCACTCTGTATACTATTACATAAATCTAAATATATTCATCCGAGTGCTTTAGAGGATTTTTATTTTATTTTTTCAATTGCTGACTTCCTTCTGAGGTTGATATTCATTACACAATTATTATTCTTATCATGGATCAAAACTTTTCACCAAGTGTTCACTTCTTTTCTCTCTTCTTTCCCTCTAAATGAATATTATTCTTAAGATTATGAAGTTTGTAATTAAGACAATAACTTGTGTTATACTTACATTAACTTCTCAAACCAGTTTTATATTCACTATGCATATATGTCCCATACATATTGATATTTTATTATCCTTTTCACTCAATTGAGACTTTCATCGCATCACTCCAAACTATAACTGCACAAACACTTATTCTAGAGTCATATCTTACTGCAATTATAAGTTATTTTTCTTAATTACTTTTGTTACTAATTCAACGATACACACATAGTTGTTTATTCTTGCTTTGTGTTCATAAACACGCCTATTAGACTGTTTGCGTATTCCACGTCTCCTTTATTTCTATTCCCTTATTTTCCCCATTTCCTTCTTTAAACTCAATTCAATATTCTTCTCAATTGCACAAAACCGATTTATTATTATTAATATTCTACTATTATTACTCTAAATTTTTTTTTAAATGGCAAGTATAATGCTGACATTATTGAAAATTGTGTATTATTGCATTTTTTGAAGAAACCCGAAATGGTTTCTTCACAACACTTATGTACCCATAAGATGTTTGTGAATAATAATAATAATAATAATAATAATAATAATAATAACTGATTTCCGTCTTTACTTCTACCAATTTAATAAACAACACTGTTGAACTCAGTTACATTTTAGAGTGCTTTCATTAGCAAACTCACTGAACGAAAGGAATTCATATTTTTTCATTAAAGCAGCTCTCATTTTATTCCACCTCCTATTATAAGTGGTTCTGTGACAACCAAGGGAACGTGACAAGTTCACAGTGGCCCTACGTCTACGAGCATTCTCAGTGACATCAAAAAAGTCATATTATTGGCCTAAGAAGGTAATTAGTCACAATTAACCTGAAATCACGAGAGAACGTCACTCACCTGCATCACGTAAGTTTTTTGTGATGGCTCCCAAGCATGTCGGAACACTTCAGCTAAACAACAAACGAAGTCACACCATATGCGTATCAACCTCATGCCTGGTTCCGTATTTTGTACATTGTTTCTATGACAATACTTTTGTTTTTTTATTAAACGGTGCCTTAATTTGTCGAAGTTTATGAACACTTCAGTTCCGGATGCGGTTCATTCAAAAACTGTACGTTACGTAGAATTGTCGACAAATTTCCCCCAAATACACGACGTAAGGGGGAAAAAGCGACATTTCCCCTAAATAACCGACGTAAAGGCGAAAAAGCGACATTTCCCCTTTATTTACGCTTTCGTCCGCTTTATTTCCTGTTTCTTCGCCTTTATTTCCCCTTTTTGTGTTGCTTGGGTATGATCTTAAAACTGGATAACATGTGAAAGTGAGATCATTCGCTTCATGGCTGATGCCTGTTTTTGTTTTTGTTACCTATAGCTTTCTGTCTACCTTCCACTATGCCAGACAGCATAACATGTGTAGAAACATAGCGATTCGATATCCACCAAATATGCCTCAAAGACATCAATCGATGAAGATCCAGTATGTTTCAAACTAATTCACCATAATTATTCCAACCATTTTATTCACGACCATTGGGCCAGGCTTTGACTCAATTTGATCTTAAAGCAAACTTCACACTCTTAAAAAACTAACTCTGAACAGACGTGCTGTCGGATAGTGATTAGTTTAAGTTTCGAATATATTTTATAATGCTGTCACTTTAATATCCAACTTATTAACTTGATTAAAGTTTTTAAAATCTATTCGACATAAACATTGCCTTTATAAGTGAGGCGACTGTCAGTATGAAAGTCTCGAGGTTCGGGAAAATGAACTAATGCTTCTCGTAAAGTTGTGTTCCAACATCATGAAAAAATTGTTACGTTTTATTCTTATTGAACGTAGGCTTTATCATTCTCATTAACATATAGTCTTAACATCGTTTCATGCTTTCAAA